CGCCAATTGTTACCATCTCCGAGGGAGAGGCCAACTTTCACAGGAGTGTTTGGACCAGAGTATTCGCAAGTAATGGTCAGGGCTGTAGCATTACCAGAGATTGATGGGCGGGCCGAATAAGCATCCTAACCGCGAATGGGACGTGAGAGGTATGTTGCATCGTGTTTTGTGGCGTTTGTAGGCAACTGTGGGAACTCCCTAGTCAGCCCTAAAATTATAAGCAGCAAACCTATGTTAAATAAGACTAAAGCAATCAACCATGGCCATGAGCCAAATTTAGGATGAGGGATCCTCATTTCGTTTCTGCAAAATTCAACCCACAAAAGAACATCGAGCAATACAATGTAAGTTAATAACCAGATAAATGCCGAAATAAAAGGGTGTGGAACATACAGTGTGGAGCATACAGGTAAAAAATCTTCTCGTCTTGTACGACCTGACAGATGATCCGTCCGTGGAGGTCGCCCGGACAGGCAGCGTAGCGTCGTTGTCTACTGGAGCAGGTGTCAGCCGATGTCCTGCGGGATGTTGTCGTCTTTCTTCAGGCGGTCAGGGGTAGACTACCCTGTGCCCTTTACGTTGCAGGGATTATTCTGCCCTGTGTCTTTGCAGCGTAGCTTCGTTGTCTACTAGAGCAGTTGTCAGCCGACGTCCTGCAGGATGTTGTCTCCTTTCTTCAGGCGGTCAGGGGTAGACTACCCTGTGCCCTTTACGTTGCAGGGATTATTCTGCCCTGTGTCTTTGCAGCGTAGCTTCGTTGTCTACTAGAGCAGTTGTCAGCCGACGTCCTGCAGGATGTTGTCTCCTTTCTTCAGGCGGTCAGGGGTAGACTACCCTGTGCCTTTTTCGTTGCAGGGATTATTCTGCCCTGTGTCTTTTCTGGAGGTGTGTGGCTCTTTGGTTTGGTTTCCTGCTGCAGCTGCTGCAAGATCCTGCCGCACTTCCTTCAGGGAGCGTTGAGGTGTTACAGCTGGGGCGCACTGAGTGAGGTGGAACCAGGTGTCACCTTTCCCGTCCAGCCGGACTGCGTGGGAGGTTCTCTCGGTCACCTGAAATGGTCCTGTCCACCTAGGCTCGCTCCACTTTCTCTTGATGACCCGAAGGAGGACCCAGTCAGTGATGGGTAGGTCACCGTCTTTGGTGCCGTCTTTGCTGTCTCGCACCTGCTTAGCAAATTCAGAGAGAACAGATTGCAGTTGTACATAATAATCTTTCTGGTGCATGTGAGAGGGAGGAGGGTCAGTGTTTTGCAGGGCTCGCTCTGGCCCTGGAAAAGGTCGACCACGTTCGAGCTCGAATGGGGTGTGTCCAGTTGTCCTGTTTACTGAGGATCGGATGGACATGAGGGCGAGCGGTAGAGCATCCACCCAGTTCAGCCCTGTGTGGGCACAAATCTTTGACAGCCTGTTCTTGACTGTCTGGTTCATCCTCTCAACCTTACCCTGAGATTGAGGATGGTACACGGACCCAAAACCATGTTTAAGTCCCAACATGGCCTCCACGTACTGGAGGTCCTGGTTCTTGAAGTGTGACCCATTGTCCGACCTGATCTCTTCTGGGAAGCCATGCTGTGGGATGTAATGGTTGATGAGACACTTAACTACTGATTTGCTGTCCTCTCTTTTCACTGGCCATGCTTCTGGCCATCCTGTAAATGCATCAACACACATCAAAACATACCTGTACCCTCGGACTGAGTTAACCATATCTGTAAAATCAATGATGATTTCTTTCCCTGGACGTGTTTTTAGTTGGAACTTACCCACCCCGGGTTTGTATGTAGGTCTGGTGTTGTGGTGTGTGCAAACAGTGCAGTGTCTTACCCACTCCTTTAGCATGTCATGTAGGAAGGGGTGCCACCATTCTTTGAGGTCCACTTTCATCTGGGAGATGCCTGCATGGCCAACTCCATGTGCTTCTGAGAAGATACTGTCTTTGAGCCCAGGTGGCAGAACCAACCTTCCATCTGGGGATCTCCAGGTCCCTTCCAATAGGACTGCGCCTCTGAGTTTCCACACTGTCTTCTCTTCAGGTGAGGCTAGGTCCTGTTCTTTTGAGATTTCTGTAAGGGACAGTTTTGTCATTTGTGTCTCTGTGTCTGGTCTTACCAACAGGAGCTTCTCATGATATCCTGCGGCTGCTTTGGCTGCAGAGTCTGCTGCTTGGTTGCCCATGGCAACTCTGGATCCGCTGTTGTCGTGTCCTTTGCATTTGATGATGGCTGCCTTCTGGGGAAACCACAGTGCTTTTGCAAGCTCTTTCATTTCATCCATGTGTTTAATGGGTTCTTGTTTTGCAGTTAGGTAGCCCGCTCTCATCCATTGTCCTAGGTCTACTTGTGCTGCGTGTACTGCATAGGCTGAGTCAGTGTAAATATTAATGTCTTGGTCTTTACCTGCTTTCAGGGCTTCAATCACTGCCACGACTTCTGCTCTCTGGGCTGACTGTGGTCCATTGAGCTTTTGTGCTGTTACCGTCTTGAGTCCGTCTGGTGTTTCTTCTATCACCGAGAATCCTGCTCTGAGTCCCTCCTTCTCATCTCTGTAGCAGCATCCGTCTGTGTATAGGTTTCTGGCCCCTGGGATGGGCTCCGACTGGAGGTCTTCTCTGGCTTTTTCTTCTTTTTCAACCCTGTGGGCACACTCATGCAACACACCTTCCCCCAAACGCTCAGCCATGTTAACACCTTCATGAGTGAATAGCAAGTTTGGGGCTTCGAGAATGCGAGCGAGTTTTTGCTGTCTTGTGGAGGACATCGTAAAAGTTTGCGAGTTCACATAAGCTACAACGCTGTGTGATGTCAAGATGTGAAGTGTGTGTCCCATAACTATGTGTGCGCTTTTGTTGATGAGTTTGGCAACACCTGCAGCATGTCTTGTGCACGTTGGTTGATGTTTTTCTGTGGGGTCAAGGATGACACTGAGATACATCAGTACCGTTCTCTCTCCCCCTTTTTTCTGGAACAGAATACCGTTAGCAACAGATTCTGTTTCAGAAACATCCAAAAAGAACGGGCGCGCGTAGTCGGGGAGGGCCAATTCGGCGGACGCAGCGAGTTCTTGTTTGAGTTTGATAAAAGCTTCTTCCGAGTTGCGGGACCATGTCAGCTTCGCATTCAGATTTCTCATACCTGCAGAGGTGACCATGGCTCTCAGCGGAGATGTGAGAGTGGAAAAATCAGGTATGTACTGCCTGCTGTAACCCACCAGACCGAGAAACGACAGCATAGCTTTGACAGTGTCAGGCTTGGTGTGGTGCAGAATGGATGTGCGGTGGGCGGGGGACAATGAGGCCCCCTTTTGTGACAGTAGTCTGCCGAGGAAAGAAACTTGTTTCCGCGCGATTTGCAACTTAGGTTGACTGACCTTGAACCCGTGGCGGGCCAGGAGTAGGAGCAGGGCCCGTGTGGCCTGCAGGCAGGACTCGGCTGTGGTGGACGCAATGAGCAGGTCGTCGACATATTGAATCACTGTGGTGCCATCAGGCAGCTGCAGGTCAGCCAAACTCTCTTTCAGAACCTGGTTAAAGATGCCAGGGGAGAGGGCGAATCCCTGTGGGAGGCGGGTGTAACGGAGTCTGCGACGTTGGTAGGTGAACGAGAAGATGTCCCGAACGTTCTCATGTAAAGGGAGACAGAAAAAAGCGTTAGCAAGATCAATACATGTGAACCATGCTTGTTCGGGAGACAGATTGTTCAGAGCAACATATGGGTTTGGCACCGGGACCGTATTGGTCCCTAGAATCTGATTGATGGCTCTGAGGTCATGGGCCATACGGTACTGACCGGTGCCCTTCTTTTCAATCGGTAGAATGGGTGTGTTCCAGCAGGAGTTGGAGGGTTCGAGGACACCAGAGTCTAACAGGCCTTCTATGGTGTCCTGAATGCCCAATTCTGCCTCTCTTTTGTGAGGGTACTGTGGCACCCAGACCGGAGAGTCAGTATTCAGCTGGAATGAGATAGGTTTACAGTGGATCAATCCGACATCGGTTGGACCCTCGGCCCACAATGAGACTGGGAGGGAGGAGATAAGCTCCTGTGCTTTTGGATGATCAGATTTTTCTCTACCATGGTCTCTAGGTATGAGTTCATGTGTGCATAAAGCAGAGTCAGTGGTAGTACTCACAATTCTGAACATTTTCAGGGACGGAGAGCGGAGCACGCCAGGCAGGCCGGAGGAAGACCAGTCTGAGGCTAAGACTGCTGCTTTGACCATGGGGCCCAATTCGCGAGCCTCATGTCCCGGATGGAGAGCCAGCGAAATGTGGGGGAAAGCAGTCTCAGACATATTATACCAGGACTGTTGCTCTCTTGTGAGATTAACCATTGCCGCAACCCCCTGTTGTCCCACCAAAATGTCACCAGAATGTAGCTGCCAGGTCTTACCTTCTAGCTGATTTTGGAATTCCTCTAGGTAACATTCATTACCCTCCCGGTCGTAGAACAGAGTCAGATGGAGCGGGTCAGGTGGAGCCATGTAGGGGTGGACGCTGAGGATCCAGGGTTTCCAATGGAGATAACATGAGTAGAGCCCAGTTTGTGATGGCTCCAACAGGGCCCAGAAAATGTCTGCAAATCTAGGTTCAGTGTCTCTGAGGAGGTACTGGTGTGTGTCCCCAATCCCTTGTGCACATAGAACTTCAGTCCCATCCGGGAACGTGACAGTGAGGCCCTGCTGACCGCAGAGGATCTGTGCATTGAGTCTCGAGAGTAGGTCCCTACCCAGGAGATTGACTGGAACACTGGGAGACACTAGATAGGGGTGTTGTAATTTCTGTCCCGCTACGTGTGTGGGGAGGGGGATGGTAAATGACAGAATCTGACTTACCCCAGAGAAACCCACCACGCTCATCGTCCGTCCAGACAGAGGCCCAATGTCCTGATTAACCGTAGATCTGGTAGCCCCTGTGTCAACGAGAAAGGGCAGAGCGTGGTCCCGGACCGTCATGGACAGCATGGGCTCTGCCGTTACCCCGCTGTCCGAGTCGCTCTGTGGGGCGTGTCATTGAGGATACTGGTAGGCGTCCTGAGCCTCCCAGGTCTGGTCCCAGGCAGTGACTGCGACTGGAAACTGGTGGGCCTGCTGCTGCTGCTGCTGTTGTGGGGGTGGTCCTCCCTGTCTCAGCGGAGGTGGTCCACGGGCCATGCCACGCATCGGGTAGCTGTGTTGCTGCGGAGGGTTTGGTGGATAGTTTGGACATTCACGCCACCAGTGTCCATTCATGCCGCAGGAGTGGCAGGCGTTGTTGCGTGTAGGTGCTGTTTGTGCCTGATTCCAGTAACCGCCCTGGCGGGGAGGGCCGTTGTTACGAAATCTCCTGTTGCCCTGGAAACCTCCTCCCCTGTAGGGTCCACCAGACCTCGCTCCACGTCCTCTGCCCCACGAACCCTGAGATTGATCTGTGGGAGGAGAATAGGGAGAACAATCTGCCCGCTGGGGCACTGGGTACATGTCAGGTGAAATCTGTGGGTCGTTAGAGGCAGCGGCAATCATAATTTTATCTGTATTACGATCTTTCTTACCCTCAGTGATATTTCTCCGAGCCTGGGTGAGCTGCAGCTTCATAAGTTGTCTCTGCATGTCTTTGTCATCATCACCTGCTTTGTCAGCTCTGTCTTTCGCTCTCTGTAGGTGGTGTTTGAGATGTCGTTCCCACACCAGGCAGGTTGAGCCCGGAAGGTCTGGGCTGTTTTCCAAGTGTTCTCTAACGTCTGCTGGAACACCTTTAATTACAGCATCTCTAAACCAATGTTCCTGGCCCTTACTGGGGTGAACCCCTGTGTATTTGGACCATTGTTCCTTGCACTGGGCTAGATACTCGCTAGGAGAGAGACTTTTGTCCCATGAGAACTTGGGGATCATTGGACCGTTGGGAAGCGGGTATTTGGAACGGAGCTCGTTACGCAGAGCCCTAATTACTGTGACTAGCTGCCTGTCATCATTGCAGGAAATGGTGCCTGCACAGGTTTCGATGTCCCTGAGTTCGGTAGGGGTGACACAGAGCGCGAGAATAGCCCTGAAATCGCCGAGGGCTAGATCTTGGCCTTTAGTCAGGCAGTCCAATTTGTCCAGCCATAAGTTGCCTCCCTCAGAGATGGGGGGCAGCTTATCACTGATGGTTTGTGTATCGCTAACAGCGAATGGTTTATAGATTTTGTGTCCACCACTGGATTCAACCAGAGGGAAAGCGGAGGAGCTGTGGTGTGCTGTAGCTGCGTCTGGATATGCTGGAGGTAACATGGCTTTTGAGCGTGTGAAGTGATGGTGGCTGAGAGGTGCACTCACCCTTTTTTCGTTCGTCATACGCTGCTGTTCCTCTAGGGTGGCAGTGGGTCGGGCCATGGCTTCACTGGCGTCCGTGTTATCCGTATAGTTGACGGTGGAGCCTCTGGTGGTCCTCTGCATCTCATCTCTCATGGTGCTGAGCATTTCGTCTCTCACTTCCTGTCTGAGTTCCTCCTCCACTCTGCTGCGCATGAGCTCTGCACCTGTAACATCTAGGGTGTCTTGCAGTATTTTATTGAGTGCTCTTGGTAGGATTGGGGTCATATGTACCGCTTACCGTGAGTTGGGCTGTGCAGGGCAAACTCTGTGAACTCTGTGAGCCTCTGTTCGGGGACGGTATCACCGTCTTAACCTGTCCCCTGGGGGTGGATCTCTGCTGTGGCTCAGGAGCGGGCACTGAATCTGGTGTGGGCAAAGATTTAAATTGTAATTCTTTTTTAAACTCACTCAAAAAGCGGGCCTGACGGTCTCCAAATGGTGCATCGAGCTGGTCCTCCTCTTCCTCCTCCTCGCTGTCCTCGGCTTCAGAGTCGCTGTCTTCATCCATGTCTCTGCAGGTATTGTTGCCTTCTCTGTCCTCGTAGTCTGAGAGGTCGATGGTGGTGGTACCAGAAGTCCTAGAGGCCATGGATGGTGCCTTGTGTCAAGGAATGTGAGAAGTCAGGGAGGGGTCCGGCTGTTGAGGCATCATGGTGGGGGGTATGTCAATCTTCAGATGTCCTTCATTGATGTTGATCACTGGGTAGAGAGAAGTGCTCACAAAAGGATTAGTGGGTGAGAGTTTTTTTCTGTGAAAACCAGACTGAGCGGAGTGGTAAGGTGGGGGTCGAGGCGGAGCTTTGGGAGGCGGAGCTGTGGGAGGCGGAGCTGAGGGGTGGAGACCTGAGAAAGGATTCGTTCGTTCAGCGGTGGGAGGAGGCAGGATAGAGGGAGGGGTAGCTGGTGGAGGCGGAGCTGGGGTGGCACCCTTTGTGTTGGTGGGTGTGTCCTTCTGTGTCTTACTGTGTGTGTGTGCTGATTTGAATAATCTCATGTCTGTATTTGGGGTGGGGGTAATCCCTGTCAAACCTTTCTCAGCTGCCTTTTTTACATTAGTAAGATGCTCTGTCCCTCTGTGGGCTACTCCCAACGTCTGCCACCTAGCAAGTCTTCTAAAATGCTTTTTTACGGCCTGTTTATATTTTCTGCGGAGCAAAATGCTGCCTAGCACTGCTTTCTTCCTTGCTGCTTCTCCTTTTGCTAGCTCTTCTTTCCCACGTGCCCAGATGAGATCTCCTAGTGAGGATCTTTCATTTTCTCTCCCTTCGATAAGCTCTTGCAGCATATCAGCATACTTTTCCCTCCCTTTCGCTGTCACCACAACTCCATCTTCTTTCCCTATGCCCTTTAAGATCCACTCTGCCTGTAGAGATAACGGGCCCCACCCATCATCATCTACCTCACGATCAAATTCACCATCCATCCCAACAACAGCAACGTCTCTTTAATGGCCGGCTGGTTTGTATGACACTTCTGTTTCGGGCAACCAGCCTTATTGGAGGCCTTCACAAAGCCGGTCAGTTTGTATGACACGTTCGTTCCGAGCAACGGACCCTTTCAGTGTAGTACTGAGACACCTTGTGTGAGGTTTTCTCCAAGACACCACTTTGAGACAAGTTCAATTTTCAGCATATATGTGGTCAAAACAGTCACAATTCACGCACAGGCTTCAATAATGTCACACAGCAGAGAGAAAGTTATTCTCCACTGAACTTTTTCTGTACGGCAGAACTCCTCGCACAGGTTTCAACTGTATCACACAGCAGAGAGAAACTCAGTCTCTACTGAATTTTTCTGTGCGGCATATCACCTCGCACAGAATTCAACAGTATCACACAGCAAAGACAAAGTCAGTCTGTACTGACTTTTTGTGCGGCACAGCTCCTCGCACTAATTTTAACAATCACGCAGCAGAGAGAATGTCAGTCTCCACTGAATCTTTCTGTGCGGCATATCACCTCGCACAGAATTCAACAATAACACAGCAGAGAGAAACTCAGTCTCTACTGAATTTTTCTGTGCGGCATATCACCTCGCACAGAATTCAACAGTATCACACAGCAAAGACAAAGTCAGTCTGTACTGACTTTTTGTGCGGCACAGCTCCTCGCACTAATTTTAACAATCACGCAGCAGAGAGAATGTCAGTCTCCACTGAATCTTTCTGTGCGGCATATCACCTCGCACAGAATTCAACAATATCACACACTTCTTTTCGGGGGCTCCAAGTCCCCGGGGTTTGCAACCCAGCTCAACTAGCGCCCCGTCGAGCCACTAGGGGGGTCCGCCACAACCCAGAGCGGTGGTCCTTATGACTCTTTACGCGGCCTTCACACAGGCTTCTCTTAAGTTTAACTTTTCATTTCACACATAGTTACTCTCTTTGTCAGAACACAGAATATCACAAGATGTACCAGTACAATATCATGAGCCTCGTAATAAATTTAGGATTCAGTATATACAGAGTTCAAGAGATCTTTGATTTAGAGTAACACAAATAGGCAGAAATTCTGTTAAAAAGGTTTTCTGCTTACCTTATTTTGTGGTCGACCAGATCTCTTTTCCTCTGATGCACTGAACAGTTTTCTCCAATTCAAAAGCTCTGTCAGAACTCCATCCCGGACGAGCCCCCAAAATTGTTGAAGTTAATTCAAACTTCCCCGAGTCCGTTGATGGAGACTGGAACAGAGGATTCACTGAGGCAAAAAGGTGTCTTCAACAAACCTTTTATTTCGGCACATCAAATAACACAAGATATCTTGGAGAGCACAACATCAACCCAATGGTATCTCTGAGGTGGTCTGATTACTATTTTTCAGTAGTTAATAGTTATACCCTAGGAGGCGTCTCATCATCTTTTTGGGCGGAGAGTTTACATAACCAGCAGTCCCCAGTGTTTCTCTATGGACAAACAAGCTCGTATTGTTCTATTTTTTTTTACCTGACCGAAACCGTGGTTTCAGGGCAGTTGACCTTGGATGCATCCAGCGCTTGTCTCCTTTTATCATATTTGCGTCATGTATTCCAAGCTTTCACTGAGTTCCCACTGGGCAGACTGCTGGGCATGCAAACCCCCCTTTACACCTCCCCATCTTCTCAGGACAGAGTGATCTTCCTCCCTCGTCCTGTTGTTCACATCTCTGACTAGCACCTGCACATCTGTTTATGAAAGGCACATCATTATCTAAGGCATATGTCAGGGCCCTAGAGCACTTTTATAAGGAACACTTTTAGTGAATGGCTGTGATGATTATAAAGCACACTTTTTAATAAATGACTGTTAAGGCAGAACAGTTTAAAACCATACTTACCAACCCTTGGCACTTCTAGGCATAAGCTAAAATCCTTCTATACTGAAAGTCTCTGTTCTATACATTGTGACACAGTGGTCAATTGCCCCTGTGTTAGCTTTAAACTTTCTTATCTTACTCATCAGTACATGTCCGCAATGAGCACACAAAATAATGTAAACACAATAAAAAAAACAGTTAATTACCTGAAACAATGACTAAATGATTGGTATGATATATGAGTTCCCACAGATCCTAAATGAGCAGTGAGTGATAAGCCTTATTTTGAATTTTAGACATCAATCTGTAGCTGAATGTCTCATGCAGCCCTCAGAGGCCCAACTACTTTGACATTGTTTCCACTAGAGTAAATTTCAAGATTGTCCTTCTTTTGTTGAAGAAGACTGTTTTCAGCCTTTGACTCAGTACATTTTCCTGCTGTTTTAAAAAATCAATTCAATGCCATAGTCCAACTGGTACTGGACTTTTAAAATTCTTGTAAATCTGTTAGACCATCTGGTAGGTTGAGTCAGCAATACCACTCTGGTGACTGCCAAGCAGTGGCGATTGCTCTAAGACTGCAAGGGAAGCTCGGCTTCCCTTAAAATGTCACCCCCCCAAAAAAAGAAAAAGTGGTGAAATACGTACGGCTGTGTGTACATTTCATTAACTAAATACGCACTAGAAAGCCTTCAACTTTTGTTCAGACACTGTGATAAGAAGCTGATAATCACAGGTAACCGGCATAACTTCGTTCTCATTCATCCTTGCAGCGCCTCAGCGCTTTAAACAGCCGGACGCTGGGCTTCTGCTGACTTCAATGTGGAAGCTTAAAGTGGGTTGTTCCAGCAGCGAAACTAGACGCTCATTGGATAAATGCTGGGCTTTGTCCCGCCCAATGGAAGCTAAGCTTCACTGGAGTTCTATGGCGAGAGGGCGGTCCCGACTTTCTCCCGGACTCCAAGCTTCTGCATTCATGATTGGATGAGCTGTCTGAGGCGAAATCCTTTTTTGATTGACAGCTAAACAAGCGAATCAGCGATCTTGAAGAATAAAACATCTACCAGAGCATTTTCCAAGTTATTCATTCCGTTGTTCTTAACTGCTCCAGAGACTTTACCGATCCTCAGCGACTTTTGTCTTTGTTAAAAACGACTGCCGTTGTGTTTGGCGACTCTGTTCTGTTTTATACTAATAAACAAATACAATTATGATGTAGGCCAGAAAAATGAGCTTCCCCTCCTTGAAAGACCAGCAGCCGCCACTGCTGCCAAGGATAGGCTTCAAATTATTATACAGTTAATGGTGCAAACTCGTGAAAACTTAATTGGCTGTTCTGTCAATGTTAGCAATAAGTGCTCTCGATTTTCTACCTATACTCTTGAGCACAGGTTACAACGGAGGTTGGGGTTAAGGTTTATGACATTATAGAACGAACTGAACTTCTTGAAACAATGAACACTTCTGCATTAATCAGCATGATAAGAACTAATCTAAATGACAGAAGGAATGATTGAGAAAAACTTATTTGACATTAATTTTGGCTTTCCAGTTTGGCCCATCTCCCATCTGTTTACATGGAGGTGGGCTTCATAATCTGTAATCCAGTAGCGGGAGCACATTTCAGTATATTTCATGTTTCTTCTGAGGGCAGACCATTACAACTTTACAAGAAAGAAATACATTTCCAAAACAGCAAACTATTCTGGTTGAACTTTAATAGCTTTGAAGGTCCTACTCTTTAAGCTCTGACTCATTCAAGTATGTTTAAATGGTTTGTTTTGAAACCACTCCAACACAGGCCTAAACAAACCGTCTGTTCTAAGTCATGAATATCTTTATCACTGTAGCAGAAAGCTTGCATTAAACCAAACACTTTGAGTAAATAGGAAGAAATGAGTATATGATGGCATGGCAAAATGTGCAGAGCAGAAACAGCTGAGGTGTTTTTTTATTAAAAAAAAGAAAAAAGTATCAAACATTGAAATAATCCAAGTAAGCTGTCATGCACTATTAGCCCTTCAGTGACAGCTGGGTGGTGCAAACAAAAGTCCTCTGACACAAAAACACACTGACTGGCTGCAAATGAACTCTTTCCCAGCATTCATAAAACACTCAGCGCTAAGAGTTGATGTTCCTGCCAACTGCAACTGAGAATAAACATATTAAATCTCTGCCTCATAGCAGGGGGAACTAAATAGATTAAAATGAGCTCTGTAAGGGAAGTTAAACAAGACAGGGATGACAAAGATCTGACATTTAATAGTTCAAAAAGTGCTCTGTTTTTCTGTCCCCCAATGAGCAATGAGCAGACTCAGGTTTTTGCAGCTTTTCCCTAAGAGGTTGTTTCTGAGGTTTTGTTAGGGATGGAAAGACAAAGAAAGAAGAGAAAACCAACAATAGGTAAAACAAATTGACTGAGTATTTGTATATGCAAGTTTTTTTTTTTCATTTAATTCAGACTGCTGTAGATTTTGAGCTTTAATACTAAGAAGCACAGAAAGCCCGCAAAAACAACAAAAATAATAAAAATAATAATAATGATAAAAAATATATATATATATCGTTAGCCATGTCTGTAGGTCACTCGCTGTCCAGTCAGTGAGCTCTGAAAGCTGGAGAGTAATGTGGAAACACATTTCTGACCAGTGTTTGATGTCAGCTTTGGTATGTGACACATGGATGAGCAACAAATAATGTGCTGCCCCTTCCCCCAGGGGTCAGAGTAATTCAGAAAAAACAGAGGAGTATGGTTTCATTTCAGTTTCAGATGGTTACAGGAGTTATAGTGACACACAAAGGCCAGTCAGTGCAGTTCAAAGGATGTTAGGAAAAGCTTGAACAATATGGGCTGTATTTTTCTCTCTCTGGGGGATGATTTAAATGTGTTTCTTTGATTTAATTGTGAGAGATTAAAGTTCAACTTAAAAACAAAAATAAATGTTTATGAGATTACCAAAATTTCCCAAAGCTTTAAAGGAGAGTGAAAACTTATTTTAACACTACAAGAGCTTGATGCACTTTAATTTATAAAACCATGCAAATAAGTAATTGTTGGGATGCTGATGTGCTTCACCAAGATGGATACCCAAGTGACCATAATTTCTCGACAAATCCTTTATTTTAGAACATATTTGAAGATTATAATAAAAAGATGTTTGCTATATGTGGTTACAAAGGAGCTTTTAGGGGCTGAAGGGGCCTCGATTTGAAATATGACAAAAGTATGATTTATGAACAGTTTATCTGGGAGTGATCTGACACTATTGCTACTGTTTTTGTCAAGGAAACCACTCTCTTATCTAATATCTTTCGTATCTCACATAGCTGCTCTGTAGGAATGTAATTATCTTAAGACTAAAGGTGATAAGTGACACTTGTCCCATAACTGAAGCTTATGGTGACATATGTTGTGTACAGTAAACACAGATACTGACACTTAAGTCAAGATGATGATGTAAAACAAGGACCTTATCTCCTCAATGCAGAATATGAAAGCTGATGTTATGTCATTACGAGCATATGAGGACATATGTGACCTTGAACATTGCCTGCAGGCCTTCGACATAACAAATTAAATCTCTGTTTGGTTGGTGAAAAATTAGGCTATAAAGGTGTTCTTCATTTGGCCTTGACAGCAAAAAGTCGACAGACGTGGAGAGGTTAACATTTTAACTTGCGATTACAAATTAATCCTGGTGTTTAAATAATGTAGCTTTGCACAGTCATAGTTACAGCTGTGATCAAAAGTTTACATCCACTTGTACAGAACATGATGTCATAGCCATCTTAAGTTTCCGATAATTCCTACAACTCTTATTTTTCTGTAACAGATGGATTGGAATACTTCTTCGTCACAAAAAAAAACATTAATGAAGTTTGGTTCTTTTAAGAATTTATGTTGGATCTACTGAAAATATTACCAAAACAGTTGGATCAAAATATACATGCAGCATGAATCATCAAGTTTTGTTATGAAGAAAAAAGTATCAATTAAATTAGTTTTGTGATAATCAATCAATCAATCAATCAATCAATGTTTATTTATAAAGCACTTTTCCTACAAGTAGTGTAACTCAAAGTGCTTTAAAGTTAACAGTTACAGTGGCATGGCCTCTTAACTTGTTGTGACTGCTTATGATTGACTACAGCTGGTGATCATATCTTTAATAAATCAGCAGGAGGGGTTGTCACACAGTGATGTAACAAATTCACTCATATAAAACAATATAGGTAGACTGCTGCTTAAAAATTGAAGGATAACACCTGCAAACCACACAGAAGCTAGCTTGGGTTAACAAACTAGCAAAAGTGGAAAGGGTAAATTAATGATATACAAAAGGGACAACTGAAATGATCATCTTAAAAACAAGACGTGAACTTAGTGGGAGAAAGGAAGCTAGTATGAGACTGCAAACGCGTTCCCGCTAAAATTTGTACATGGCGCCATCTTGTGGTAGTAGATATTCAAAAATTTGCATCCGCCATTTCTGACGCAAGTTCCGGTTGTGTAGCAGCCATTTTGTCTGTTCGGGCAAGTCTACCCTGACGGTTACGAACAGCCGTTCCACCTTGAAAAACAATTGAAAATGTTGTTCTAGCTTTTCTTTTTGTGTCTTACTATTGACCGATCGCTGTATAAAAATTATATAAAAGATTTATAGGTCGAGGAGGCCCCTCCTCTTCGAGATCGACCCATTATTCAGCTGAAAAACGCGGTCCAGCTGAGACATGTCGAGTGAGGAAAGCTACTTGGCCATCATACGGTACCTGACTAATGAACGGGAGCCGTACGCGCCGGAGACCCCAAGTAACACCAAGAGGAAAATACGGAAGGCGGCTGTCTGCTATGTTGTAAGGAACGGGACTTTGTTTTACCAGCGTCGCCTGAAGGGGCAGGATGGTTTCACGGAGCTGGAGGTGGTGCTGCAGGACGGCCGGAGGAAGGAACTTATCAGCGCGATGCACATTAACGAAGACGGGGAACACCTGAACCGGCAGGTCACCTGGGAGACAATTTCTCAGAAGTACTGGTGGAGAGGTAAGAAACTGAAGCTGTAACTGTGGAGAAATGTTTGAACAGTCAGTTTAAGGTGTAGGAATTAGCCGATGTTGGTAGAGAGGCTGGAACAAGCAGAGAAACGCCACCCACTCAACACACTGACACTCTTGTCTCCATCTAGTGGTCAGATTAGGTACTGGTTAGGTACCTTAACCTTATAGACAGGGTAATATTGATAAAAACGCTCAGTTTAAAAATCTGCTTTACCTCTGAACAAAAAGAATAGTATTTTTATAGGCCAGATTTATGTAGCACCATCCAGCAAAGTACTACTCTTTCTAAAAGCAGCCCTGAGCCAATAAAGCCTCAGCACAGATTATTACCATTTCTTAAATAAATCCATATCATTCTAATCCCACTTTCCTGCTTTAGCTTCACATTCATTTGTGTATTTTGTGTAAACTCAGATCAGTGTAACGATTGTGTAACAAAGAATGCAGACTCAGATGTGAGATTAGAGCTACACTATAACACAGTTAATCTTGATTGTATCTTTTCCATGTATCTTTCTTCAGTCTTTCTCCTTGGTAGAGGAAGGATGTTCTGTTTCTTATTAAACAAATATGCAACCTCCACTGTGGTGTTTCCGCTCTGCTGTCTCTCATTTCTCAAGAGACAAAGATAATTGTCCTATAGGTCATGTGTAGAAAGGCAGTGGTCTGTTACTGCATTAATACACCAAAGGCTCTTCCTCTCACTGCCTTTGAATGCCATCTGAAAACACATTTCAAATACTCAGTTGTTTCTGTGACTTATAATAAACTTTTTCATTAATTTGTTGTTGCTTTTCATACCTTTGAGAAGCACTTTGTCATTTTTCTTGCAGGACAGCACTGTTTACATGACATTTATTCTCATGTCTAGACATTTCACCAGTAAAAGTTTCATTAAAGCATCATCTTATTGGCTATTCTGAAGAGTAAAAATGGTCTTTTGGAGCCAGAACTCATGTAATGCTGAATTTCCCTACAAACTTTTTAGTAGATTCAATATTTTTGCTCATCAGACAATTAAAACCGTGTACTTTATGCTCTTATGTTTGGGGTAAAATTTATTAAAAGTAAAATTGTAAATCAAATTCAGTTTGGATCAATATTTTGTCTCCATGATTGTCCTGTCCTTGTTTCTGGCGCCCTCAGGTATCCTGAAGAATGTGAAAGACCACATCAAAGAGTGCGCTCAATGTCAGGTCAGACGAGGTCTTGATGACACCTCAGGGACTCGTCTGTTCTCCCGTCCGGGGAGACGCAAGGCAAACATGAATGAGGAGGAGGATGAGGATGAGGAGGAAGAGGAGGGAGATGATGGATTCTTCACAGACTCGACTAGTCAACTTAGGTCCAAGTTGGCCAAAATGTCCAAGCACGAACTGGTGTTTGTAAGTTTGTCAGAATCTTTGCTTTCATTCCCTAAAATCACAGAGACGACCTGATGATCCCTACAGCTAAGGCTGCAATTTGTCTTTAAAACATACTTTTTTCAGCTTTTACTGAATTTTTGTGTCTGAGATGTATCTCGATTAGAACAAAATCCAAGAAACTGCAGTATATTTTAGTGCTAGTATGTCAGAATCAGCTTTTTTGGGCCAGATACGTATGTTGGACTACAAGCATGAAGCATAAAACATTAAAATGTTTAGCAGGGTTCCTACTAAAGTATGGAAAGTATGGAAATAAGTTTAATCAATTTCCAGGTCTCAATAGTCTGGAAAAATATTTATGTTTCCAGACTATTACCACCGTTCTAAAATACTTTTTTCTAAAAAAGAAAAGTAGGTATTTCCACAAATAATTCTAAAAAGGTAGGGTATGGAAAAGTATGGATATTCCAACAGTGTAGGAACCCTGGTTTAAGTTGACATGTAACAATACTGCAGGCCACTGATTTACTGAAACCATCTGATGAAAGGAAAACTTCTTCACACCAATATACTAACTGACTTTTACAGCTGGTGACCACATCTGGCTGCCACACAAGTCTCCCTCTTCTCTCTTTCAGTCTTTTGAGTGTTTCTGTGTCTCTTAAATTGCAGTTCTTAAAGGCGTTCACAGTAATCAGTCTGCACCCTTTGTCACGGTTGATATTAGAACCACTCAGTTTCTACTTTGGTTCCTTTTTAACGCCTGCAAACCAGAACAGCTCATTACATGGCTGCAGGCAGAAAGGCTGGCATGTGATGTCTCTGAGAATGATGCAAAAACAAACAGACTTTCAGATGGTGAAGTGAAAGACTGAAGTTTTTCTAAGTGGAGGGAACTCAACAATGCAGAAACCCTTAAATTGTCTACGTCATGTGCTCCTCCCAGGTGGACAGTAAAGGGGAGGTGAACCAGTTCCTGCCCAAACACAGCCAAACCATGTTGGACAAACTGAACCATCAGCGGCTCAATAACCAGTTCTGTGACATCACTCTGCTGATCGAAGGAGAGGAGTACAGAGCGCATAAGGCTGTGCTGGCGGCGTGCAGCGAGTACTTCAATGAGCTCTTCTTTGAGAAGGGGGCTGCCTCCACACATGAAGCCGTGGTGGACCTCTCAGGTGAGACTGTGGAGTTGTTCTGTGTGCTGAATGTTCAGTCTAATTTCATTGTTGTAACCTTCCTCCCTCTGCCTCTGCAGGTTTCACCAAAGCCAGCTTCCTCCCTCTGCTGGATTTTGCCTACACATCCATGCTCACGTTTAACTTCTGCATAATGGCAGAGATTGCAAACCTGGCGCGTCATCTGCTCATGACAGAGGTGCTGCAGATCTGTGAATCCGTCCATAAGCAGGTGGAGGCCCAGAAGCTGACTGTGTATCAGAAGGGAGACGTGCACACGGTGGTGTCTAGCGAACAGGTCTCTCAGGTCGGCTCCAAGGACGAGTCTGGTGCCTACACACTCACCATACAGAGCGATGGCCAGGCGATGGTCACACAAGGAGCTGTGGCTCTGACAGGGGAGCCTTTAGCTTTTGTTGCAGCTCCTGCGGAGGCGTACATCCAGCAGCCAATGGCTGTCGTGACTGAAGCTGTAGAAGGAGACTCTGTGCAGCACGTGGAGGCCAGACAAAGTGAAACAGTGACTCTGATCACTCACGGCACAGCTGCTGAGCCGGGGGAGACTGTTACTCTCATTTCCTGCAGTGCAGAGGGGGCAGAGGGGGAGACGATGACCGTGGTCACCCACAGCGGTCAGGCTGGAGAGAGCGAGTCTCTTGCTGTGGTGTCAGCCTGTCTGGCCATGGAGCAGCCGCAGGTCACAGAAACAGGAGCCGTAGTTATAAATGTGGAGTCAGACAAAGTGATCCCCTCAGAGGAGGACAAACAAACATCTGAAGCAGCAACAACATCTCAGGAGAAAGTCGAAGCAGCACCTGTACCGCAGAAACGCAAAAGAGGACGTCCAGCCAAGGTGAAGAAGGAGGTGGAGGTAGAGGAGTATGTGCCTCTGGAGGAGGAGGACCCCTCTACTGATGAAGGACCTGGAGACAAACAAGACATGACGTCAGATGAACCAAACCGACGACAACTCAGGCAGCGCTCCATGGCTGAGGGTGGGTACGCCCGTTTACACATGGGGCTGGAGGAAGAAAAGGAGGTGAAGAAAGGATTGACTCCGGCACGAGCTGCCACACCAAAGGTACACGGTTACATTTAAAGGAACAGTCAGTATTTTTTCAAACCCAGGATCTTGTTCAATGCATAACAACAAAACAGGCTGTGATGGCTTTAAGTGGGATTTGGTTTGAGGTAGGGGTGTCCCGATACAACTTTTTTTACTTCCAATATGACACCAATATTGTAGCCTTCAGTGTTGGCCAATACCAATATTGATCTGATATTAGCACAAAATTGTGCATGACAAGGTTTGGACTCAGCTGCAACGTCTTTTTCTGGATTAGACAAAAAATGCTGCCACATAGCCGACATCACTCTTACTCCTTCTTACTTTGTTAGTGTCTTAGTACACACTGTTGTTGTGATTACGTGGGCTTTGCATGCTGGATCAAGGCGCTGCTAGATAGAGGTTCTGGAGCAGAGTCTGGAATGGACTGCTTGTACTCCAGTGCTGATATCAGAGATTTTAAATGCAGGCTGATATAATCCGATATTTTTTATTTATTTATTTTTTTGCTGATATTGGACCAATATCAATATCAGACCGGGGCATCCCTAGTTTGAGATCCAATACAATATTTCTGTGGATGTAAACATGCAGCCTCTAAGGTAAGTCTGCTGACGGTAACACAACAAAACCCCAGTCACATTCCCTGTGTTTTCAAAAAACAAACAAACAAACAAACACTCATAACACTGAATACAAAAACACCATAACCATTAAAAGCTTCTGTGAGGATCTGTGGCTCTCTCTGTGGACAGTATGATAGCCTGTCTAACCGTCAACATCAGCGCTCCCGATGTTGCAGCACTCCTCCCTGCCTTTCCAAGTGCCGACTTGGAGAGCCTGAGCCTGAGGGAGGGAGAGCAGCGCAAAACCCAGCAGAACAGAGCACGCATGAGTGACAACACTGTCATTGGAAAGTCAGAACACTTGAGAGGAAGAGCTGGGGAGGAGGTGGGATGTGGGCAGCACGCAGTGCAGCAGGGTTGAAGCAGATTTAAATAGAGCGCCCAATAAGATCAGCTGATCTGGTTGTGAGACGTGGCAATCGGCTGGTGTGAGCCCGCCCACATCAGCTGATGAGCGAGAGCTGGGCAGAGCAGATTGACTCTGTGGCCTGTCTGAACTACCGCTATGCTTTATCAAGTCTGCATTTCTTTCTAAAAACAGCACTATAGCTTTGTGTTTATGGTCCTTTCTTAATATGACGGGAGTATTTACAGTTGGCAGCAGTGAAGCGCTTCTCTTTCTTTTGGAAACGAGGAATGTTCCATGTCTGTTATTCTGAATCTTTTCCTTCTCTCTTCATTTTGCTGCTGCTCTGTAGGGTGATTAAGTAATTTGGCCTTTGCATATAATGAAACTAAAATTGTAGAAATGTGACAAAAGTGCAAATCCACTGTTTCATTAAAACTACTGAAAAGCTATAAAAAAACATAATGATGCTTTAAAAGTTAGTGGTTAGTTAATAAATTCAGACAAAATAGGAACTCCTTGACGTAAATTGGTGCAAAAATAAGAGGTTGTATCTAAACAAAAAGGACAAAGAGGGAAAAACATCTCACAGTCAGGCGCTCGAAACAAATGTGTGAGAATCATGTTTTTAGGCCAAAATTAGCAGAGACAGGATCTCCAGACCTCCTCTGGTTCGGCGTGTCCTGACTGTACAGACTGTGGTTCATCAAACTTCAGATAAGATCAAATAAAGTCGACTTCATGGTCTCAGAGGGAACATTTGCCTCAGGCATGAGTGCAAAGTTTTCTGCCACCAAGTGTTACATAAAACAAACAATGCAAACTAGACCTGACCATGAAACAACAAGTACAGATGAAATGTTTGAACAAGTCCCTAAACTTGTACAATAATAAGCCTAAAACAGTTTACAAGACTGAAAGCCAAAGGCTAAAAAGAGGACAGACAAACAGAAGACAATGAACTGTGTTTCAGTCTGTGTCTTCAAATATAAAATGATCATCAGGAGTCAGGTTAGTCCAGCAGATCAAACCTGTTGATCTGATACTTCCAGGCTCTGCGATGTCTGTTCAGTTCATATCTAGGAACAGGCGACTTCACTGAATACTGAGGTTACTTCTCCACTTGATGAAACCAAATGTTTACTTGCATCCATCAAAGTCTGCAGATACTGTAACACTCCACCATAACCTTCAGCTCATCCCTGCAGTGCCCTTGTCTGGCTTTTTGTACTCTCCAATCACATCCCTGAATGTTGGTTTCTGTAAAAGTCTGTTGAGTTTAAAGAGGAGGCTTTTTCTGGGTTACATAAAAGCAGCTTATAAAGGTGCATGTTCGCAGAGACCCTAGTCTACAATATCTGCACTCTCAGAACAAAAAGTACTTAAACAATGCACTAAAGTGTAGGATTGGCAGCTGAAGCATACTTGAAAGCATGTAGAACCTGGTTCAGCTCACTGCTGAAATACTCTATCTGAGATATTTCAAATCTTAAGTACCTGCTGGTATTTTGGACCCCAAATAATGTTCAAAACTTGGGGCAGAATTTTATTTTCCTTGTGAAGAGATAGAAGTTGTAGATGGTAAATTAAATCTAAATTTTGTGTTTTTAGGTTACTGTCAGGACCGGCAAGAGGGGCAGACCACCAAAGCAGCCAGTGGAGACTCAAAGTGAAGGTCCGCCTGTCTCTGAGTCAGGAGCAGATCCAGAGGCTGGTGCTGGAGAGAGTGTAGAGACAGCAGAGCTCAGCACAGACGAGGTGAGAATGAAGGAAGGAGACACAGAGACCGGAGGTAAGGAGGACAAAACTCCTGAGGAGAGCACAGATGGAGAACACACCTGCTCTGAGTGTGGCATGACCTTCCCCAGACGCTACTCCCTCATCATGCACTCGCTCAAACACGAGAAGGCTCGGGGTTACAAGTGCACTGTGAGTACCATCACCGGTCAGCATGTCTCAGTTATACGTTCATGTCATACATGTTGTAACGCTGGTGTGTCTGTGTCTCTTCAGCTGTGCAGCAAAGAGTTCCAGTACGCCGCCTCCCTCCGTGCCCACCTGGCCCGACACAAGCAGCAGAGCAGCCACCGACCCCCTGCCATCAAACCCCCAGCAGAGCAGAGCTCAGAGGGGAAGGCAGACAGCGATCTGGACGACAAGACTTCATCTCCTCACACCAAAAGAGAATTTGTTTGTGACATCTGCGGGAAGACTCTACCAAAGCTGTACTCTCTTAGGATCCACATGTTGAACCACACAGGCGTCCGGCCTCACTCCTGTAAGGTCTGCGGGAAGACGTTCGCCCACAAACACAGCCTGAAAATGCACCGAGCGCTGCACGACGTCACCAAACAGTTCCAGTGTCAGTACTGCAAGAAGTCCTTCGTCAGTAAGAGGAGCATGGAGGAGCACACCAGTGTCCACACAGGTCAGGACAGACCACGAGACAGATGTGTCTTTTGGGGGTGGGGATGGGCGGTAAAGAAAAAAAAATTCATATCACAATTTCCTTTTTTTTGCAAAATCACTATCACAGCACCTCTTCTGTAAATTCAATGATACACTTAAAAAAAAAGTAACTCTCAATTCTTCAACAGGTGAATCAAAGTACCTCTGCAACACATGCGGTACAACCTTCCACCGAGCCTCAGCTCTGAGCAAACACCTGAAGAAGCACCTGCCCAGACCTGACGTCCGTCCATTCGCCTGTGCTCAGTGCGTGTTTCCTCATGTCTCTGTTGTGATTCGAGGCTCCAAACTTAAAGGCGTCCTTCATTAAAATGTCCTTCACTTTTGTTTCCTGCAGCTGTGATAAGAGGTTCTTTGAGGCCAAAGATCTGCAGCAGCACATGAACAAACACATGGGTCTGAAGCCGTTCCAGTGTCAGGTGTGTGGGAAGTGCTACAGCTGGAAGAAGGACTGGTACTCGCACGTCAAGTCTCACAGTGTGGCCGAGCCCTTTAAGTAAGTCTGACGGAACAGGCGCCTGCAGTGTCTCTCTGTTTACACTAATGCGGTGTCTTTTTTTGAGTAACCATTTTATCCCTTTGTCAAAACAAAAAACCATGGATACAGTAGGCTTATGCTGCGTTCCAGTTACCTCAGAAGTCGGAGCTCGGATTGATGCTACACCCGAGTTGACGGCCTTCCAGTAACCAAGTTGTAAAACCAAGATGGATGCCTACTGTTAGCCATTGTTAGCTGTTGATTACAATTGTCACCTGCCGATAGCCGTTGTCAGTTGTTGTTAGCTGTTGTCAGTTGTTGTCAGCCATCGTCAGTTGTTGTTAGCTGTTAGCTATCCCAGTTGTAAACACAGTATTTTACTCTTACGAACACCATAGCACCATGTTCACAGTTAGACGTGGGGCAGTACAACATATACCACTTATTTAATTTCACAAAAACAAACCAGAGGTGCTAATAAATAATACATTATTAGAGCTTTCACTGTTACTCTTTCCTGTTGATGCACTGCACTGCCATCTTGGTTTATGACGTTGTTGTCAAGTCAGGGTTGGTGAAGATCGCCCGACTTTCCAAGTCAGAAATCCAACCTTAGGGGGGCATTCCAGATGAATTTTCGACTCGGAGCTCAGAAATTCCGACTTCTGAGTACAACTGGATTGCAGCAATAACATAGACCCCATGCTCTGCAACCTCTTCCTGAGAAAGTTGACATGTTGCCGCTTCATATCCACAGGTAGATCCGAGAATATGTAGAATCACAGTTCAGCTCCTTTGTCCTCCCCGCAGCTCTCAGGATAGTTTGTCTGTCATTCCACCTGAACAACTGCTTTAGGTGTGGACGAGGCAGTTCAGATGGTCCTTGCCAGGGATGTAGACTCTAGTGCCGTCTTGCCGCCTCTAGCTCCATGTCATTTTCTTTTAAGTCCAAATATATCTCAAAATGCCCTTTTTATGAATACTTAGGAGCGAAAAAACAAAGGCTTTAAGGTCTGTCACCTGCAGACGAGAGTTAACATGCCATGCCTCCTACTCATGTGACTTAATGCAGTGTCTTTGGAGAGCTGAGGTTCCTTCTTTACAGTTAACATGATGACAGATGGTACCAGAGTTTGTTCTTAGTTCTCAGAAAGCATGAAAAAGGCATCCTCTGCAGCCCTCATGGATCTTGTGTTTCCCTTGTGTCCTCAGGTGTAATGTCTGTGGGAAAGAGTTCTTCGAGAAGGCTCTGTTCAGGAGACACGTGAAGAAAGCCACGCATGGGAAGAAAGGCCGGATCAAGCAGAACCTGGAGAGAGAGTGTGAGCAGTGTGGGAGGAAGTTCACTCATCTCCGGGAGTACAGACGCCACGTCAACAACCACCAGGGTGAGACTCCGAACCACAGACGGTGTGGAGGATCTGGGTTCATGCATTTTAAGCTTAAGTTTAGGCCCAACCTCGACAGCCTAAGCAAACCCACCCTACCTGATCTTAAAAACCCACCTGACAGATCAGTCCTTTTGATTTACACCATATGGATTTAACCATGATGCTCATTTTGTGAGAGTAAAAGGTGCCTGAGAGAGAGTCCACATCTTTTCCAGATAAACAGTTCAGTATAATGTTCATTTTATCTTATTTTTTTACTGGTTTCATCTTGAAGTTCAAAGTTCTGGTAAAGAGATAACACCGCTTGCAGTTGAAGTAGCTGGTTTTGTTTTTAGAAGCACAGTTTTCTTACAAACATCATTGCTTTGAGACTTGGTTTTTACTGCAGTGGAGTCTCCCCCTGCTGGTTATTGGGAGGAATTATAGTTTTAAAGCCACTTCAGCTGCTTGTCACTTTTTAAAGCTGGAGGTTATATCCACTTTTCATCAGTCTGTACTCAGAACAGAAGGAGTCTAGGGGGGTATACAATAAAGAAAGCTTAAAGCCTTCAGGTCCTAGAGGAGGTTCCAGGTTCCTGTATCAGATACTCCACTTCATCAGAGAACACAAACATAACTTCAGAGGTGCAGGTATTTAGTCTAATGAGTGAACTGAGATGGAGACAGATCCATTTTATAATCTGGGTTTTTGCTTGAGAACAATTTTTTTAATAGAGTTGGAGTTGGCAGAATTATCATGCAGGTGCTGTGGATATTAAATATCTTTATTCTGTAAGAATTTTCTCTGATTTCAGGGTCCCAAAGATTCTCATGCTTCAACAGCTGGTGATCAGTATATCCCATGTCCAGCAGGGACGAATTCATTAAAGGCACTTTGGATCCTAGTCCAAGCTGTAACTGTAGTCAGGTTAGAAGAGAGCCAGCTTCATGACACAGAAAACTCTGGCTTTAGGCTCATCACACCCTCTCACCTCACTTGGTGGTCCACTCTGTCGATATTTTGTTCTTGAAAGCTTGTTCTTGTTTTTCTCTGTCAGGAGTGAAACCTTTCGAATGTCTGACTTGTGGCGTCGCCTGGGCCGATGCTCGCTCCCTCAAACGCCACGTCCGCACACACACAGGTGAGCGACCTTACGTGTGCCCCATGTGTCAGGAGGCCCACATTGACGCCCGCACCCTCCGTAAACACATGGCCAAGTACCACAGTGACAACTTGCCAGGGAAGATCATGCTGGAGAAGGACACGCTGCAGTTCCACAACCAGGGCACACAGGTGGAGCACGCTGTCAGCATCCTGGCGTCCGAGCTGCCCCCAGAGCTCCGCCCTGCCCAGCAGACATCTGCAGAGGAGATCGAGACGGTCCTGATCACAGAGGAGACAGTGGAGGCAGTGGAGGCCGTGCAGCCCATGGTGGAAGCGGTGGGTGAGGGCGCGGTGACGACACTGTCTGATCAGGGCATCATGCAGGTGGTGAACTACGTCCTGGCCCAGCAGGCGCTCACAGGAGGCAAACTGGAAGACGCCCCAGAGGTAATTCAGACTATGGAGGTGGAGGTCTCTCATGTGGCCGAGGTGGAGTAACCTAAACCTCCACATATGGACTGACCACAGAGTTTGTCACAGCATGTAAGAAATGTAGCAGAGTGTAAAAAGAGGATTATTTTTCTGAGGATGTAAATAAATATGAATGGAATCTGCTCAGCTTGAACTGAGTGCTGCAGGGTTTGTGTGCAGGCAGTCTTATATTTGTGTTCAATGTACATATATAAATCAACGGAAACAAGAGCTACTGAAATAAAGGTAGACATGAAGACAACGCTCTGGTCCTCGCACTTTTTCACTTCACTGTTCACGAACAACAGAGTTCCAGGTTGGCAAATATAACTTAGATTAATTGAAGATTAAGAGTACTGTGGCACATTAAGCATTGGATGAGCATCTCACTCGTTTCCAAATGAAACGCACTGAGCAACAGTTCTTTCTGTCCTTCGCCCACTAAGATGGTTCTGAAGTACCTAACCCTAATCCCTGTTCAGGAGGGGGTCAACGTGACAGCTGTTAATGTTCTGACACCAGCCTCAGTTTACTCCTTTAGAGGTTCTCCAGAGCTCTGTTACTTTTATCAGCTTTTTGTCAATTTAGGGATTGACTTTAGATGAAAAGTCTTTTATTTATTTATTTATTTATTTTTTATTATTATTATTCGTTTAGTTGACAGTGACAGTACATGCAGGCATTGTTGCATCTAATTTAAGAGCAACCGATGCTGTGTATAGGGTCTTTTAGCTGTGGCTAATTTGCAGTCCTTGTCCATGGTTTGATAGCTGGAAATACAGCACATAATACATAAACCACTGAATTAAAACTAACATTATAGCAAGTACAGACAATCATGTATGTGCATAAAAACAACAGCAAAGCAGACAAAACAAGCAGTTACTTATATGCACAAAAAAAAAAAGCCAACTTAAAAACCTAACAATTAATGTGACACAAATAGGTAGTCACTTATGAACAGTATGTGAGTACTAGCAGTAAAGCCGGCATAACATACATTCATAAATAAACATATAAATACAAATACATACATACACACACATACACATGGATACATATATACATACATACACATACATGCCATGACATAAATATATATAAAAAAATACAAAGAAATAAAGTAATGTTTTAGTCATTTTTGCCCTAAAAGCTTTCAGTCTTGTTTTAGGTAATGAGAAGTCAAAACATCTTAGTTTAAAAGGTCAATTGATTTTACTTATTCTTTATCAAAACATTTCTTTCTTTAAAAATAATTGATGCATCAGAATCAAGGCCCTGGACAGAACATGTTTTCTGCATAATGATTTAGAGTTGAGAAACACAAAACCTCAGGTAGTGAGCATCAAAATATTAAACTAATGTCATAACAGCGGATTCTTTTTTTATCACTGATCACTCTGCAGGAAAAGATGGTGAATGAAAATGAGGAAGGACCATAGAAACAGATGATTAGAAGCAGCACTGCCAAAATGTTGTGGGTAGCCAAAATAAACATGAAGAGGCAATGACCCTAGACTTAGTCATATAAACTGAGGGGACTGTGTTCACAGACATTGTCTTCTGGGAGAGATTTATGGTCCTTTAACTGATCACAATATTTAAAAACAAAGAATTAAGAAATACAAAGAAATAAAGTTAAAACAAAATTAAACTAAGCCTGAAAAATGTACTGCCGATGTGACGAGAGACATCACAGATCTGTTAATCCAGTTATTACGACTACTGGTTTATGACTCACCCTAGTGGTAGTTTAAGGGACAAGCAAAAAGTACTCATTTAGAGGAACATTTTCTTTTAAATCAGACACTAAAACCTTTCAACCCCGACTAGTTTGATTGACAAACACAAGTCACAGTGGAAGGGGATTTTTGTCATTGTTTGACCCATAATTTACATGTCTGTGGAAGTGAGGTGGAAAATATGTTGAAAGAGTTTCATGAAGAGGGCTGATGGAGTGACTAAAATGTTTGTGTTAAAGGAGTTTAATGATGCCACACAGTAAATAATCAGACACAGAAGACTTACACATGCAGTAAAGCAAGTATTGATATTTATTTCAGATTTATATCAAAATAGCCTTGATAAATTGGAACATATTTACAACACATTGTACAAAAAAAAAAGAAAATGCAGGCTGTTTCTGCTTCCTTACAATTACAGTGGCTAGTTTTAGTAACATCGGTCATTGGTTAGTGAAGTGTAAACACACAAGCACATACACATAAGCAGATACACACACACACACACACACACACACTCTCTCACACACACTATTAGCGCTACTTTTGATGTAACACAAACATTGTTCTTACTGAAGTCAGGCATTTTCTTGAGGGAGAGTTTTAAAATAAAAGAACTATACAAATTTATATACAACAAATCCAGGTCTTGGCCAGTCATCAAATGAAATAAACCTCTACCAGCACATGGTTCAGAATTAAAAAAGAAAACACTTGTACAAGCATCTGCTGCATAAAAAAACACAACTCAGTGATCAACTATAAAAAAAACAAAGGGACATCAGTCATTACATTTTACCATGAAACACTGGGTCAAGAGCATTAGGCCTATACGTGGCTACATCAAATGAACGACCATCTCTCAGTTTTACACTCATACTTCAAACCTGAAACAATATAATGAAGCCTTGGTCTCACAACAGACATAAAAAAGCAAAATATAGAAATACAACAGAAAATAAAACAAGTTGCCCATCACTTGACATAATACTTCTGACAGGAAATGTTTGAAATGTTTACAATCAATGCTGACTTCTGCCTCCAGTGAAAACCAGTGACTTAGAAGTCTGTGACATGATCAAAATACACTTAATAGCACAAATGAAAGCCCTTAGAAGCCCTGCAGTGAAATGAAAGTTTGGTTTCAGACATGCTTGACAGCAGGAATGGATCATGAACACTTAAACTCAGAAACTGAAATCATCAACATTTCTTAAGTGCTCTCAAGAACATAATAAAATGCACCTTTGCACCACAATGAAATGAGAATAAGTGCACTTATTCGGCGTTTTGTTCTCAGCAGTATTTGCACCAATACCAAGTTTTTTTTTTTTTTTTTTTCTTTTTTAAATGAAATGTTCATACAGCAGGCACGAAGTTTGAAACGGGAACACGCGGGGAGGAGAAGACCGTAGCGGTCTCACTCTCCCTCCTCCTTGATGCGCTGCTGTTTGTTGCGGCGAGAATCCAGGTCGAAGGAGAAGTCGGACCATTCGTCGCGCGGCGGGAAGGAGATGGTCTGACGCAGAGTGAAGCGTACGGCGTCAATGACGCGCTCGCCTCGCGCCTCAGAGGAGCCCATGCTGACGGCGGAGGCCCCGCTGGTGGTGCGCACTATGTGAGGGGGTGGGGAAAAATCCATGGCCTGTCGATGCTCCATGATGCCCTTCCAGATGATGTGCTGGAACTCTGCAGGGATCTTCAGCCTGGACAGGTCCTAATGGTCATTACACAGGGGGTAGCGTTAGTATTCGCAGGGGGAGCCACTCTTCTTTCTAACCCATCAAATGACTCGTGTTGGATAGGCAAGGGCTCACCTCCATGTTATAGTTCTCAATCTGGTAGATGTTGGTTAGGCCCTGTGCTGTGAAGTAGTCCAAGCAGCCTGCGCAGCCCAGCCGAATAAGGAAGCTGTGAAAAAGACAGATGAGACGTTCAGACTACAGCTAAAACCACAACACACAACCAGATTAAGACTACTGAGAGTTTACAGACGCGTAGATGGTTACAATATACATTTTATAGTAGTTCAAAGTCTGCATTATTTACAAATTAATCTTATCATTTCTCTGGAAAAAACTGACTTCATAGTAACATTTGAGGATAAACATGTAGAGCTTGTACAGGAGTAAAAGAAGTGGACTGGGCTGCCACAGTCTGACAGTTCACATAAAGAAATGAAGATTTGAAACTTGACAGTGAGACTGAGTGTGTTATTAAGGCATCAGAATAATAAATGTGTCTCTTAATAACAAAAGTAAACTGAGATGAGGGTAAAGTTTCTCATAGGCTCAAATACAAGAGACTTTATAGTGGGTCCAGTAGAGTTGCTCCCTGCTGCTGATTACAGCTGTAAAAAAGCAGGTTTAAAGCACCTCAGTGTTTGTGTTATTCTTGAAACCATATTCTATCTATATTCTTGTTAAGTATACAGTTAATGAGAAAAGCCTGGGTGGAAAAAAAAACCCAGTAAAGGACACCAGCAGGCCTACTGGTTTGAGCATATACAGAAGCTATAGTCGTCATCCCAGCAGTCACTGGTTTGATTACTGACCAAACCCTCTGCTGCCTGTTATCCCTCACTCTCTGCCCCCCACATCTCCCTTCATCTGTCCTATCAATAAAGATACCTTTAATAAGGATACCTTCAAAATAAAAAAGACAACTGTAGAAAAAAGAAAGCTGTAGACACAATCATTGTTGAGTTTTTTTGGAGGGTATCAGTCTTTTCCGACCCGACATCTGAAGTTTTATATGCAATAATTTCATAATTCGAGGTAAAAGGAGGCGAGACAAAGGGCTGCTGTATTACAACTTTGAATATCCTATTACTCCCCCTTTGAAATTCTAGGACTACTTCCTGTCATGCTTTTTGTGTTTTTACTGCGTTTGTTTTGATTAGCTAATTGGACTTTAGTTCTGTCTTTCGTGTCTTTTGCAGTCTATTATTTTTGCATTGTGAAAGTCGGAATAATTAGTTATAGAAGCTGCAGAAGTGTCCCACTGTGAATTGGTGAGGTACCTGGAGATGCTGCTGTCCATGGGGTATGGAGGAGGGGGGGTGCAGTGGGAGGAAGGCACCAGGGGGAGCTGTGGCTGCAGTGCATGTGTGGGGCTCAGTGAACTCATGTCAGCGTTCATGGGGATGTGAGTGCCCATCATAGGAGTCACTGCAGAGACAAAAGCAGCTGCTGTGAGCTTTCCCTTCCTGCCCTGAGATTTACAGATTACGTAACGTCAACTGAAACACATGAGAGGGGAGTGGGGGGGCATGCAGAGGTTGCTCTCAACATGACACATGATGCATCACAACAGGTCCTGCAGGACAGTCTCACAGGGATCACATTCTTTCTGAGGAGGAAACTTTCTGTCAGGGGGGCTGAGAGGTGTTCAGGTCCCCTCCTGCCTGCCTGGACACGCTGTCTTTGTGAGTCTACAATCAGCCCAGGAGGGACGGGACAGCGTGGAGGAGGGGAGGGAGGAGAGGGACGGTCTAAGTTAGACAGGAAGAAGAACAAAAGGACACACTTACTGTCAGTCAGGCCTCCAGACATGCTGGATGGGGTGAGTGTGTTCCTCTGCTGGGGGTTCATGAGCTGGCTGACGGAGGGCAGCTTGTTGACTTTTCCATGAGTAGGGGAGCTGGAGCCGTAGGAGGGCTGTGACGGCATCGAAGTCCTGGTGAGGGAGAGAGAAGGAGACAGTCAGGAGGTTTAATGACAAAAAATGATCAGGGTTTGCCTTCAATACAGACACCAATAAACTATCTGAGAGAACACAACTGAAAGTAGTTGTTTAAGATATTACTTTCTGTAATTTTAAATTTCCCAACCCATTCATGAGGGCTTTCCCCCTGAAATCTATTAGACCATCTGAGATACTATTGGGCTGATTTGCGTAAAGCTACCACAAATAAATACTTTAAACAAGTATATAGAAAAATGCTGGAAAACTGTGACACAATCCCAATTTGGAATGTTGGAGATCACGCCAAAAGTTTTTACTAGGGAAAGGAAGTACTCAATCACACCAGTATGACCCCACACTGATACTCAGTAAAACATCTTAGACGTTTTTTTATTCAGAACATCAAAGGTTTTTTGTCAAGTTATAATGCAGACCACTGTCTGCTCAGCTGTGATCATAGACTGTATATAGAAGTATATACAGTCTATGGCTGTGATGCTCTGCTCCATGTGCTGCAGAGCTAAAGTCTGATTCGTGTTTGGAAAAATTCCAACTCAGATGTTTAATACATTGACATACATATCTTTAATTGGGGATTTTTTTTCATATGTTTTTTCAATATTGATGAATTGAATGGCAGAACAGTAAATGAGTGTTTTCAAGCACAGAAAGCCTTTTTATTATGTTCTGACAGAGGAGAGAGCTGCAGCCAACAAATAACAAAATAATCAGTTTCTAACAGATCTGCTCTGTTTTAATCACAAAGAGCACATCTGCAGTTTAAAACAAACAAACTGTCCTGCAGTGATTTTATAAAACATGACCAGCATTAGCAAAATATCTCATATTCAGTAATAGTATTAAAGTCTCTTCGTCCCATCAAAACACCTCTAAATGAAGATTTTATGAGTCCAGCTCTTGATGGGATTCAAAATGCAGAAACACATTCAGTGTAATAATAAGCTTTGTCAGTCATCATTGAGGCTTGGTTCCTGTCTGAGTCCAGCCGTCAGAAGAGGCTGAACAGGACAAATGTTCAACAGAGTCTATGCAACAGATCGCAAACATAAAATAAAACAGGGAGACTCAAACAAAAAGTGAGGCAACCCTGCAAAATACCAGAGCAGGAAAAAATAATGCATGCACATCAGTCCTAAAATCGGAGTCTCTGGTTTTAGTAGAGCTGGTAGAGTAACCAGGAAAAAGCTTCATCCAGCATGTAGGACTACAGCCTGCATGAGTGATAATCCATCAAACGTGGTAAGTTTCAGTGTCAATTCCCTTGAAAGGCACCAGGAAAGGCCGAAAATAAGGAGATCAGAAAAATCGAAGTAGATAGAAGGAGACAGAGAGGAGGTCCATGTAGCTCAGGTAGAGGAAGAGGAGGAGGAGGAGGAATGTGAGGCAGAGTTTCAGGAGGAGCTGTAGCGCCGTCTCTGCTCTCCTGCAGGCTCCATGATCTGGCTACCCAGGCAGGTTCTAATCAGACTGTGAGGGAGGAACCAGAGAGAAGAGAGAGCACAAATAAGGGCTCGCTGACAGAGGAGGACAGAGTAGAGAGCCGGAGGAGGCCCAGCAGTTCAGAAAAGTTCAATAAAAACAGTGATGACACCAGATCGACAGAGGGGAAAAGGTGCACTAAGTTTCTTTCTTCATACGTGGAAGAAATGCATTACTGTCTTTGTCCAGAAGATGGCACTCTAGGAACACAGATCAGTACTAGTGCGCTGTCTGCTGATCCTTTTTACATTTACAGAGAGTGAGAAAAGAGGCCCGAAACATTTTCAGTGGACTGAACCTTTATTTCAAACACTCTGACAGGAGCAGTAAAAGTTTGTTAGTAACAGAAAAGAGCCAACAAGGCGTTTAGAGAAATGTTCACAGAGGGCATGCATGAAACCTCACACTGTGTAGAAAACATGGGTGACAAAGGAGTGTTGTCAACCGCTGATAGCCACGCCTTCATGTTATTGCTTCCTCAGCTTCTCTTTCACTCTAAATGGGACCATCATTAACAACACACACATCATGCTGAATTGGAGGAGTCTTTAAAATAGGGTCTCTTGGCCTTAACATTTTTTTTCTTTTCTTTTCTTTTTTCTTTTCTTTTTTTTTAAGATTTCCAGTTATAGTTAAGGTCATCTTGGGGTACATTTTCATACTAATGAACTCCTTTTGCAACCTGTGGAGATGCCCCCTAGTGGTTAATAAAAAGAATACAGACTTGGTTGTACAGCAATGTGCTCCATCCTCTTCTTGTTTACAGTAAACGAATAGAAATCAAAGACAGGTGCATTTCCTTCAAATATGCAGGTTAAGTTTTTGGAATATAAATGCCCCAAAAATTCCCATTTGGTTGAGACATTTGATGCATTTTGTTGATTTGTCTTTCTTCTGGCAGACTTATGCTATGTTCTTCCTTTTTCTGGCATTATTACTTCAGCCTGACACTAACAGTTCTCCAGCACCAAACAGGAATAAAGTGAAAACCAGCGAATGCAGCATTATCTCACTGTGTGGCTGTCTGCCAGTCTCTTAATGGGAAACGATAACATAAGCAGTAATTATCATCACAGGGCTGTCAAACTATCATTTACACCCTCTCGTCTTTTCCATAGCTTATAGTGAAATGGGTGTGTGAACATGTGTGTCTGAGACACTTTTAATTACACTCATGATAAATAGAAGAGGCCAAGGCACGGATTTCACTGGGTGCTGTTGTTGTGCAAACCTCTGGCAAAGCACCCAAAGGCGTTACCACCAATCTTTTGGAAGCTTCTTGTTAACAAAGCGTAGCCAGGTACAGTTGTCACGATTCATCGGATCTGGCTCACATCCCATGAGAAGAGAAAAAAAAAAAGCTCTACCTGATGCAAGGCTCACCCTCTCTGAGTTAGGCTGAGATTGCTGGGAAAAGCTAAACAAGAGCCATTGTTGACAATTATGTACTTGAAGGCGGCAATGCTTCAACGGCTTTGATGGATACATTCAAAAAATCTCATGCAAAGCCTGAACTGCTGCAGCAACACCTCAGTCATGTGGAGTGAAATCAACCATGCAGCTAATTCAGAACAAAACTTTGATTGGGAGGATTTAGTGCAAGAAAACGGGCAATTCAGTGTGAGGGAGGTTGATTGAAGGGTGACCTTTACGTGTGTTGTAGGTCTGTCTGAGAACAAACATCTGTTATTACAACATGTCAACATGTACTCACTGTTTCTGTAGGAGATTCTGCTGCTGCTGCCTGTATGACTCTATAGTGTGCTGGGGCAGAAACTGCATGAGCTCCAGAGACTCTTTAATTTTTACCAGAATCTCATAAATTTCACGGCCTTTAATCTGTAACAGAAAAGTGGAGAGAAAAGAGTCAGTAAGCAGCTCAGACACACTCCTGAAGGCTAAAGTTATCATGGACCTTAGTGAAGAGTGTCTAAACCTGTGTGTGCATTTTTCTCATGTACAAAAAGAATATCTTGGAGGTTTGTTGTGGTAACTATGTCTATGTGAACTCCTCTCACACTCCCTCAAAAATAACCAACCCTGAAATATTTCAATGGCACTTACAGGCAAACAAAAAACCTCCTCATCTGTAGATCTTCTCTTCTTGATGGCGGACATCTGTATGCCGTGGGAAACCTGGCGGAAGGCTGGAAAGACAGAAAAACTCTTATGAGCACTGTGGTCACGTTCTGAACAGTTGGCCTGAGACAGAGCAGGAGGTTCACAAGCCAAAAAGGAGGAAGGTGCAGAAGGGTTTTTTTTGCATTCACTGAGCTGGAAGTGTTAGTGTTTGCAGAAGTTAGGGATCCTTAACACGGGCAGCATGTCAGCTAAGACCCAAAGCTTGTCAGCCCACCACCAGCCCCAGCCCTACTTACGGCGCTTCGTACCCTCACTGCTCTTTGTGGCATCTGTTACATGTTGCTTGCGGATGCTGTCCTCATCCGCCTTTCTGTCTCGGCCTGGGCAGGCGCAGATCCTAGCCTCGAAGCAGCGGCGGCCTAGAACCTGACCACTAGGGGGAGACAAGGGAAACAGTGGAGGTGAGAAACACCCTTTGAAGAGGTAGCTGCTGAGGAAGAGGAAGATGAGATTTGATGTATCTTGTCTCTTACTCTCTTGTTTCCAGAGTGACGATGATGAGAATGGGGCGTCTGTTCATCCCACCCACACAGCTTGAGTTGCACATGAAGTTGTACAAAATTGTGGTGAATTCTGTCCCCACCTGAGAGAGAGAGAGGGAACACACCGATGGTGAGTAACAAATAAAATGCACAACATAAAAGCCCAATTATACTGACTGGATTACTACTAATCATAGTATTGCTAATTTCTCGTACTGATTGTGCTCCTTGTGTTTTTGATTATTAAATGATAGGAAAGTTTTGACATATAAGTTGTGTTTGTTTTGTTCATTATTTGCAAATTAAATCAACAAACTAGTTTTAAATCCATAAAAGACTTCTGAAAGTCTTCGGGGATGTGAGTGTCTCTGTCTGTGTCAGGACTGAGTGGTTGGAGGTGAGATGCCGGCCTATCAGAGTCTGTCACCGCTCTATCAGGCGGTGCAGGCGGAGGTGCTGAGGCGTCGCTGACAGGGCATTCAGCTGGCCTCGCTTCGTGGTGACAGACAGCTCACCTGTGGAGGTTCGTAGGGGACTAGTACGCTCTGTCTTCCAGTGATGGAGTCCTCCACATACTGGGCATGGTTGTTCCCCTCCACCCGGATCAGGTGGCTCGGAGGAGCAATCTGACCTGGATTGAAGATTTGCAAATGCAATATTATCAGAAAACAACAATAACACCAGAGTCAACTTTTATTTAGGAAATTATATATTTTTAAAAACTAACCGTCGTTGAACTCGCGGCTGAGCTCATGGTTTGGGCAGCGTTTCACCACCTCGGTCACATGTTCGGCTTTTTTATATACAGGCATGGCTCGAATAACAGCCCCCTGAGGTGGAGTGGTCAGGACTTTGATCTGGATAGGACATGTCTTGGCAATTTGACAGTACAACTTCTTCAGGTCTGTGGAGTACTGGAAAAGAGAAAAACAAGACAAACAGGTTAGAGAAAACCGTCTTGTTGATTGTTTTTAAGCTTTAACAACTTTTTGGGCTCAATTTTAAAAGCACAGATCGATGTGTGTAACACCTGTTGCACTTCTGGTCTCTCCTCAGGCAAAAAGAGGTTACAGACAAGACTGTGATTATGACCTACTTAAATAATCACACACACACAGACACACACAAGTTTTGGTGCTTTGAGTGTGTATTGGGCAACCTCAAAGATGTCTCAGAGAGCCTCTGGGACTTCCGAGGAGTGCCATAAAATGGACCCCTCTAGCAGCAATTAAACTGGGCCTGGCTTTCATCTTCAAGGGATGGGTGTTCTGCAGAAGCATCTGATGGCCACTCATCATATACCACTTCTGAAGATCTCTGGCAAGCTAACCCTCCATAAGGCTGAGCACAGGTTTGAAATGAAAACAGTTCTGCTTTAGTTCAGAGAGCAGGAACGAAGGTGCAATCACAGCAGGTAAAGAGGATCTGGCGCCGAATCATGATGGTTGCGCTCACAAACTGGCACATGTTCAAGTTTGTAAAGCCAAGAGTCATGAATTATGGATGCACCTTGATCCTTGGCACTGTTAGAATTGATCACCAGTGAGCATTAAGAAAGACTGAATTGTTACTAATAGGCATAACTCCACTGTGCAAACAAATCCTTCAAATCACTGCTGTGTAAGCACAGCTTTAAATCCTTCTCTGTGCTGGAGACGCTGGGTGGAGGTAGGAGGGGAAATGTTTTCTGTCAGGGTTCATTTCTGAGTGAAGAAAAGTGAACGTTGTGAAAACTCGCTCGAGGCTCTGTTGGAGAACAATGCAACATAAAAATTTCCACCTTTATGAAGTGCACTTCTGAGGAAAGGTGGTTATCCTGGTGGCCGTCTGTGCGTACTTTAAATATTACACAAGCATTGGCACAGACATTTTCTACTCTTTCCCCCATCACAACCTTTCCTTTCATCGGGACCAACCCAAAACACCACCTTCCCATCTCTCCTCATGATCTGACTCAAATTCTACACCCAGAGATCCACTTATAAAAGGCGAGTTAATAATAACCCAAATTCACTGCTCCTTTCCTCAAGTGACCTCATTAGAAACTTTACATGCTCATAATGAACTGACAGATAGTACAGCTAATATTCACGGCTAGTTATTATAGTATGAAAAGTTAAAGCAGACAGTGAGGTTATAAAAATAAAACAAAGTGTCAAGTGCATAAATACATCTAATTAACATGACAGGAGCGCACAATTCAAGCTCTGGGACATGTTCATCATCAACACAACAACTGAGCTGATTCTCTGCTCAAATCAAAGAAAAGCTTTCCAGAAAAGAAAAAGAGGAATGGTTTCCCCCCTCACTTACTCACTCCCAACCTGATTCTTCCTGTACGCCTGTGTCAATCAGCTAAATGAGGTGGAGAAGTCGAGGAGAGAGACAGAGCTAAAAGAGCAAAAGAGCAAGAGAGAGCAGCAGATTAGGAGGAAAAGAGAGAAGAGAGATGAGCGGTGTAAAGGGTCAGTACGTAGTGTTTTGAATAATTACAGGCTGCTGGTTCTGTGTAGCTGAAGGCAAAAAATCAGAGCAGTAAGATCTAATCACAGATGTTTGAGACAGAAAACCAAAGTTTGTTTAGATCATATCCACTATCTCAACCTTTCACACAAAAAAACAGAGAACCATCCCAGCCCTCCAGCTACAAACTTTGTGCACACAACTTTGTGCACACAACTTTGTGCGGCTGGAGCTCTGTTTGCTCAGCAGTGAGAGCAGAGGCTGCTGCGGCTGACTGCTGAAAGCAGCGCCCTGCTAAAGCTAACAGTGTTCAGGGTGGAGGACAACTGGTTGACTGATGGGATTCAGTGGCTCACACAGGGCGCGGTGCTCAGGTGTTAACATGTAATTATGAGCCTTTCATTGGTCACAGCCAAGGTACACACTGTGCACAATACACGGCTGCTTAATCATGATCATAAGAAACAAAAAAAAGTTTGCAAGAAACTTTTGACACCTTTGCTTTCCACTGGAAAAATAATGGATGACCTTAGAAGGCTGTTTACATCCTACTGTGACTGCTGCTGCTGCAGGGCCAAAACCTAACAAGAAGACACACATTGATTCGCCTGCAGCTTGTAAATGGTGTAATGATGAAAATATGTCCTTGTAATAATCTGAATGCATGCAACATACAATTTGTCCAAGTGCTTCCACAGTTCTGCATGTGTGCAATTACTTTCTAACACACGCACTACGCGCGTACACACAACACACGAACTTCCCGTGCAGCACAGGTTGAGGCAGGCCCACAGCTGTAGCGTTCTTTTCTCCCTGACAGGCGCTGCGGGCGCATGCAGAAGTCAAGTCCTGACAAACATCAGGCCTTAAACAAGCACTGTTTGGCGCCTCTGGTCTTGTCTTCTTCATACCTGACATGTCATGTCATGCCTAGAGCTTCTCCCAAACCTGTTTAATTCAACAATAATGCAAAGGAGTTTTTTCACTTTTCTCCCTTCAAGAAGACGTGAAACACCTGCTTCTTGGAAGAAAAAGTTATAGTCGTTTTCACCTCATTTTATAGATTAAAAAGGTTACCTGGGAATCTTTAGTCCCCAACTTTACCATCAAGTCTAAGAGATAACACCGGTCCCAGGACAAACCTGGACACATTCATGTGCCATCATTTTTATGTAGCCAGAGCCGAGAGACAAAATTCATCTCTCACTCCTTGTGTTAGCTGCCTGAACTCTTGTTTTCATCAGGGCTTTTAAAATGGTCCTCCATCAAGCCCCCTATCAGTTTAAACTTTGACTGAAAAACTTATACAAACCTGCACCCTCCATGTCCCATTTACTTTAAAATAAAATGTTTTTTTTCCCCTCGTTTTCTTTTTCTTTTCTTTCTTTTTTTTTTTTTTGAGTGTTCGGTTACACTGTTTTAAGATTTTAGTCACCACACTGTTTTCTGTTCAATTAAAATGACAGAATGCACTAAATATAATATAATATTATAATTATTGCCAAGGCTAACTATTTTTGAAATAGAAATATGAATAACTGATCAAATAATGATAATGTCACCAATTTTTACATTAACTTTCTGTTTTTCTGTTTTTTATTTTGTTATAACTTTTCTGAAAATGTCCCTCAAAAGTCACAGAAAAAAGTAATGCAAAATAATCTGTAATTTTAGTGTTTGGACCAAAAGTAGTGAGGGAGTCTTTTTATTTCCAGAGAGTGGTATAAACCGATCAGCCGGTGTGTTATCATGGTTTTAGTTAATATCTGGAAATCTTATTTTGTCAACCCCAAGGTAAACAAATGAGAGCTCTTGTGCTACTCCCAGACCCCAGATTGGGGACCAATGCTCTAAGGTAGATATGATGTTCAAGTGCAGAAAGACCGATCTGATTTGCTTAAAACTTAAACTGAGAGCAAGAATTGAAAACAAATTCTGAAAGACTAAATATGTAAATACATTTCTTTAATAATTTAGTAATTTTAGAAACCCCTGTTTGATCTAAATGTCCTCCCAAGAAGTCATAAAGTTGCAAAGACATTTGAGTTACTCCAAAGTTCAGTCATCCCAAAACATTGTTTTTCTGTGTTAAGAGCTTCCAACAAACTCTGTGAGGATTTGGTATGTTCTGATCCAAGAAAAACTTATCTTCAACTGATAACAGACTAATGTCTTCCTTTTTGTTTTTATTCGACTACAGCACAACTCTTGTTTCTGATAAGGTAAATTGCTGCTGCAGGGGTCCTCATGGCATTGTTTGTTAAAAAAAGGATCTTGTGATATAAACTGTGAGAGAATGGGCTTTTCCGTGCTCATTATGGAGAAATCCCATAGCCCACATCATAAAAAATCCTTTTCAACTCTTGCCTTTTTAAAAAATTTCCCCTCTACCTTTCCCATCTGTAGCTCTCAGGGCTTGTCTCTCTGTGATGGGCGAGTTGTGACAAGCTTCTTGACACAAACAAGTCTCGGCCCCATCTCGTGAGGCGTGGGACGGGCCCGCAGATGTTCCAGGGACAAGCTGCGTCTTGCAGCCTTTCGCTAGAACACTCTTCTCTTTGAGCATTCAGGAGGGCTCTCCTCCTCCTCCTCCTCCTCCGGCGCAATGTGAGATGCAACCATCAAGCTTAACTCTCTCAAAAAGACAGAACCCTCTCCAGGAGCACAGGGTTCAGGAAAGAGGCACACAGTATTTACACAAGTATTATCTACAGGCCCTCAATCCATTACTGTAATCCCCCCCAGCTCTACAGCGTCCCACTGATAGCCCACACCATGACATTCCTCTCCTTTTGACTGATACACCTGATGGCGGCTAATACACACAGCAAACACGACAAATCTTCAGCCTCACAATAGCTGCATCAATTGCCTACAATGGCTGCCTCATTTGCGACACTCCATTAATTTAGCAAAGCAAAGAAGATAAAACATCTTCAACGTGTGTATTAGTTTGACCCCGCCAAGTGTTTTTGTTCTTACAACACAATAAAAGGGGGAACACCATGGAGACTGCAGGAGTGCCAACAAGGAAACTGTGGGAGCAGTTCTGGGAAATGTTGTGTGTGTGTGTCACAGTCATCCTAGACAGGAAGAGGTTAAGGTGTGGGTTAGGGATTAGGTGTGTCTCCAGAAGAACAGTCATCAAAAAGCACAGTACACAGTCCACTAAGTCCCATGGAAGATCCCGCAGGCCTTCAAAAAAGGGGGGGCATTAACAGATCTTTGCACAGAGCAAAGCTGCCGTGGTGACATCTTCAGTGGCTCGCTGCCATCTGTCCATCAGTCCAGCAGTCGAACGATTGGGCTGAGATTATGGGAGCTTTAGTAAAGATCCCCTGAGATCAGGTGAGGGAGTCTCCTCAGTGATGAGAACAAAAACTATAATCACAACTGGAGGATGACCCTCTTTCTCTCTCTCTCTCTCTCCCCTTTTCTCTCTTTCTCTTAGACATCATGGACGATAAGCAGGACAACAAAACAACGTTTAGAGATACAAAACTTTTACAAATGAAAAAAGTGCAAGCACCTCCAGATATGGACAGAGAACTCATTTAATTATCACACTATTAAGTTGATAAAGTATAAACTCTAATTTGTGTGGTTTATCAACTTTTTCAACACTTCAAAAAAACTTTATAAAAACTTCAGTAATTATGCCATTTTTTTCTAGTTTTCCTGTCTTCACTACTCTTAGTAAAGTACTCTTGGTATCATTTTTGGAATATTGTACACACCAAATAATTAAAGACTCGCTTTTTATTTCCAAATTCAAATGTTATCTGTTTAGAGGTTTATTTATTTACATTTTACATTTACACCTTTTTATCCAGATTAAGTTTTTCTGCTCTGTGAATTTGTGGATCTACTTTTTTTAAATTTCTGGTTAAAGAAAATGTTTTTGATAGTATTATGACAGCATTTTGCCCCCAACTGGTAAGCAATTAGGGAAGCATGCTATTGATTTATGCTGATGTTTTCAAACTCATCTTGGCTGACACCAAAACCAATACATCCACACTTTTTCTGTATAGTTTTATTCTGTGCAAGACTTGCCCTCTGATGCTAACGTTTTGTGTGTTTAAGAAACAGACATAAAACAAGACAACATTAGATTCTAAAGTACTTAAGTTGAAGCTGCCGACAAGTTTTGCTGAAACATTTTCATACTTTTTAGAAACTTTTGCTGCCGTTCAGAATAACGGTTGTTCAGTTGCAGAGTCAAACTTGTCGTAAATCAAAGGAGTGTTGATTTGCTCCTCCTCCCATCACCTGTGCTTCACAAGCATTACAAATAGTTTTTTACGTTTGCTTCAAAACACCAACATCATGCAACTTGGTGTTGGCAATAAACGTGTCATCTTGGCAAATAACTGATTTGACTCCTCATTGGCCTTGTACACTAGCAGAAATATTTTACATCTGCTAATAATAAACTTCTTCAGCTCTCATCAGCTGATGCTGACATCCTGACTGATTTCATGCATCCCTACTAAAAATGCTTCAATGTAAACATGTAAAGAAGAATATAAAACTACCGGTATTTCAAAAACAGCTCTGAGGCACAGAGACAAAAACAACTGTAACTCTGATTTGAACGATATAACTAAATATTGTGACTAAATCAAAATTCCTTGGGCAGAGTCTTTATCAGAGGTGTTGGATTTGACCCTGTACCAGTGCCACTGAAATACTTCTGTATTATTACAGGGGGTCAAGCAAAAGGAAACTCTAGATGTATCTCCAAAAACAGACTTTTCATTAGCATATTTAGTTGTCATTTTAAAGTTTTACTTTGTTTGTTTAATCTTTCTTTTTTTCTTACATTTTTTTAAAAGCATTTTATTGTTTTATTGTCCTTGCACAAGTCTAGAAAGTCTAGCCATGGCTAATATTGTTCTCTTGTTTCATCTGTGTTTTAAAATTTTGCATTGTAAAGCACTTTTCGCAGCCTGTTGGTCATATACTTGTTTTTTTTTTTTTTTTGCATTTTTTTTCTAAGCTTCAGGGACATGTTTGTTTCTAAACAGTTGTTTAAGGCAAACCAGCTCTTCATCTATTTTAAGGTAATTATGATTTAAATTGGTAAATCTAAAGTTTGGGCGTCAGGGGATAATAATAGGCAGCCATCCACTGCTCTTCAACTTTAAGTCAGACCAATCAAACCAGTCTTGCATCATGTGTTATGACTGTGGGACACACAGTCTGTTACACTACATGTGTGTCTACGATGGGGATGTGTCCTAATGGGGCGTGCCTCTCCCAAACCACACTCTTTAGCTCCTCACAGTTGCGCAGCAGACAAACACTTTTGTTTTTTGGGACTGTGAAAATGAGAGGGATGAGTGAGGCACTGTGGGAATTGGGTAAATGTCACAGTCCCACAGTCGGCGTGGCCAAGGAATAAGGTGAGAAATGGCCCAGCACTCCCTGAGTTCAGCCTGTTTACTTGAAAGGCGCAGAGCGTTAAAGTCAGCGTATTAAGCTGGGCAGGTTTTACAACGGTCGCACATCTCACAGGAACAACCTTTCAATCTGACTTTTCTGATGAAGTTTGAATACCAATTATACTCCATTACAATGACTGGAAGAATCACTTTGTAATGTGGGTCCATTATATGTAAGGAAATCTTGACAGTAAATCTCAGCAAAGTCTTTATTTAAACATACTTTTTTGACTGAACTTTGCCTAAATTTACTTTGTTTTCATTTTATTTTGTTTTTAACTTCTATAAAAATACCGTTTTTTTTATCCTCATATCTTTATTCTTTAAAATTTGTTCCCTTAAAATTTTTTTTGTTCTCTCATTGTGATAATTTTTATTCAAGTGCTCTATCCAAAGAGATTAAGATTATTATTTATAATCAGCCTACGTTGCACAAAGCTGATGAAGAAAACAACATACTATTACTGTTATTTGATCTAAATTCCATATACATAATGTTTAATCAGAACTTGCTGCACATCTGATGACGAAATGTCTCCAGGGGGACACATCTGTCAACTACGATGTCCACTAGGGTGCATTCATTCACAGAATTTGTGGTTTGTGGTTACAGTGTCTGCACACAGCAGTTCGCATCAGACACATAAACAAGTGAGCAGGTGGGGCTCTGATGCAACAGCTGTCCCTCAGCCCTGTCATGTGTAATGACAGAGCAGGAGGAGCTGGTTGTGTAGGTTTACGCAGTGTCACATGGTCACAGCAGGCCGCTCAGGACATCACCACACCTGGACCAACTGTTAAAGCTGTTTACCTCTGTCATCAACAAAGTACTAGTGAACTTTGGCAGAGTAATGAGTCAGCTGGAGTTTCAACATAATGAGCATTAAGATGTCACAGGGGGCTAAGTGGAGGTGTATATATATTTTAGGAACATAAATGAGTAGTTTTAATAAGGAATACAGTTGAAAGACCTGAAAAATGTAGTTTGAGTGAATCCCTCTCCTGGTGACAGTCTGTGTAGTGAAATCATTCTCTTCAGCATCTCTTCTTTCATCAAGTAATGCCTTAACACAAAGTGCCTGAGGTTTCGTCATGAGTTGAAGCTATACATCTCAAGTGACATTCCTCCTTGCCAGATGTAGTTGCGAAACGCAGGGCTTTCAAATAAAGTGCACTTCAATCTGCCTGGAGCACAGATTGTCAGATAAAGAGTTCATGGAAGAAGTTTTTCCTTAACCCCTACTCTGACAAATCACTACTTCATACAATGATGACCTGTTGTCATGACAGTAGGGGATTAATAATGTGTCTCTGGAGGTCAATACTATTAGTGTCAAACATTTCACATTTAAATTTCATGCTTTAAGAGTCGCCTTGTATTAGATTCATAGCTCAAAGCTGAGCTGCACAGTACATCAGCAGAGAAATGTGCATGTGAATGCCTGAAATAAGTGTCCTATGGGAGCGTGAATGTTTGCTAATCATTAAGGGTCATGGCAGATCTTGTAAAACTATTGGTGTAAACAATACTCCTATTTTGATTACACTCATTACTATCAACTATTCGTGTCATTTTGCACTTCTGCCTCAGCTAAACCTAGAGCTGCAGCTACGGAATATTTCAGTATTCTAGTATTCTACCGAATATTCCATCGAATAATTGAGTAATCAGACCCAAACCGCAGACTCAGATACTGTGAGATTTCCTATGTCACAGATCCGAGCTCCAACTCCTGTGCCCAGCTATGCAGGCCCGACTTATAGAAATAGAGCGAACGATCGGGGAACAAGTGTATGGGTTAGAAGATTGCAATGCCTGTAAGAAAGCTAATTATGATATTAACTTTTATCATGTCCCTAAAGACATTAGTGTATGAGAACTGAATAGCTCCTATGTTACCTACTACTTCACCTCACAAAACTAAATCAGAAGTCGAAACATGAAATTCTTCCTACCACACAAGCAATTTTATTTCTAAGTCATGTTGCCCAAGGATAATTGATTTGTACCATTGAAATTTGTTTGACTGTTTACTGTTCATCATATTAGGTAGTTTCACATTTAAAAGGTTTATTAAAGGTTTATTTAGTAAATGTCTTTTGACCAGGCAACTCAGCTATTAGTAATCATGATTGAAACTTTATACAGAGTGTTAAAACTGCTCTATGAATGAATGTCTTACCGTCCAGGTTGCAGACTTTGCTGTACTTGACTGCTGGAAGGAGACGTCGAAGGTGTGAGGCCCAGCATAATCTGTGTTGGATGGGATGGCTGGTGAGGGAGAAAGGGCATCAAAGGTGGAGCTGGGCTGGGCGTAAGGTGAGGGGGCTGTCACGTTGTTTTGTGCATGGTCATTGTTGTAGGGGCTGGTGGAGGTTGAACCGCTATTCTGGATGTTCTGATCCATGCTGTTCAGGAGCCCCAGATTTGTATACTGTGACTGGAGAAGTAAAGGAAAAAGAGGGGATGTAAACAAAGAAATGCCATCAGTAATTGTTTAAAGGTGATTTTCAAAATGCATAACAAAAATAAAACAGCTAAAAATGAAGTTAAATTTGTTCTTTCCTGATCTTAAGAGTAGAAAACTGCTCTGTGATAGTAGTTTTTTTGTTACTCTACATTAACACTCAGAACATGTCAAATTATTGAAAGAATTATCTTTAGTTTTAAATAACAACATAACGCAGTTGGTAAATTGACACATAGTCTATGACAAAAGTATGGTCAGCCTTTTGAAACTGTTGGATTTTAAAGGTTTTTAGTTTTAAATCGGTGTCATGAGCCCTGAAAGTGTGTTAAAAAAATAAATAAACAGACAATGAGAAGACAAAAAACTAATCACAGGTTATTGCATGTCAAGTGATGACCGAAGGTGTTGAAGGCCCCAAACTTCTGAATAAAGCATGCTAACAGGAAGGAGAGATCTTATTTCTCAATAAAAAGAAGTATGAAAGTCTAACATAAACTATGTTTCCACATGATGTGTTAATGATCCGACCCCTTCCTGAACCACAGTGTTGACACGTCTGAGGTCCCTGGCCTCAGAAATACTTGCATGGTAGAAATAGTGCATTATCTATAAGTTCTGGATAGCAGTGAGTGAGGACTTGTGATGGAAAGTTAGATTAGTTGCAGAATGTATATTAAGTGGTAAGGCTCAGCTGTTGATTTGATTGGTTTATTTTAACTTTTTGTTACAAGTCCACACTCACTGCTATTCAGACAGCAGAGAAGGAATTATAGTATCCATTCCTCTTTAAACAAGATGGAGAATACACCTGGGTCAAAGCCAGCTCCTTCCTGCTTGCTCTGCTTGTCATTCACCCCATTCCTTTCCATTTATAAATGGCACATTCCTGGACGAGGTGCCATGGCTCTCGCTCTTTAGACAGTCATTAATCTCTCGAGGGCCTCTTGTTTATTCCAAGCACGGCTGACCACAGCTGTCCAGCTCACACCCAGTGCACTGCCAGGTGTTACTAATGTGCCAGATGACCAACAGAAAACACTAAGTACACCATGTACCTATGTGCAAAGGTAGTGACTTGTGAAGCAATGTTGCTGCTTTATTTCATAGATTCATCCACACACACACACACACACACACACACACACACACACACACACACACACACACACACACACACACACACACACACACACACACACACACACACACTCTGACACAGTCAGACAGACACACCTGAAAGAGGTCATCCGAGTCAACCTCAGCATACTTGTGTAACAGTGCCACAGGGTTGCTTTCTGTTTGGATGAGGGTCAGTGTGTGTGTGCGGCGCACGGCTGCTGCTTAACCCCCCGGAAACAATGACACCAGAGCTTATAAGAGCTTGTCTGGAGAACAATGATGTTGGGCATGCAGGTGTTAGGAGACAAGTGCTTTGTGAATGGATAACACACACACACACACTCACTGAAGAAAAAAAAAATTCTGGAGGAGACCCTCCAGCCTTTAGCAGGTATAGGCTTCCCCAAACACACACTACTCACAATGGGCTAATTACACACATTATTAAAAAGGTTTAAACTCAATTGGCCGTAGCCATGTCCAGCAAATCTGATCTAATAGGAGGAAAATTGGTCCAGACAGCGGAACCGTTTCTGATTTGGTGATGCAGAATATGATTTAGACATCCTCTTAAAGTCTGCTTGTGGTTGTTGTTGAATGGCCTTGCTAAGTTTAACCAACATTTTGTTTAGTCTTGACTCATAGACACTTAAAGGACTCCTAACCTAAAACATGCTAAGCCAAGCTAAGCCAGTGCTGTTTTACAGACATGCATAATAATAATAATAATAATACATTTTATTTAAAAGCGCCTTTCTGGACACCCAAGGACACTGTACAGGCATTAAGAACACAGTTAAAACACTGTTAAAATAAATAAAAACAATATACATGTATGGAAATGGACAGTTAAAGGGAATATGCAATTTGGAACAGATGCATGCATCATATCCTTCACTCTGGCTTTGTAGGAGACGTTTCTTTTCAGTGTATATGTTTTGGAACAACTCTACAAAAAGATGTCACAAAATGAATAGATGAAAAGTTAAACAGTTCCTCAAGAAGTGTCATTTTTCTCCCCAGAATTAAGAGGGAGAATCAGGACAAAAATGATTTGACACGGTAACAAACCAGCTGACACAACTTCCTGTTTGGTCGGTATTTTCTCGTAACTGTGGAGTCATATTTGTGATATCATACTTAGTCTTTTGCACAGTTTCGTAATTGACTGTCGTGTCAGTGAGGTGTTCAGCCGCTCAGGGATGACACAGCCTGCCTGTGATGCTGGCAGCTGTAAAGCTGGATCTGACAGGCACCAATTATCAAAGTTCAATCTTTATTCTGAAGAAAAGGTGGATGCTGGCCACAGACCAAGAGAAGATAAAAGCAGGGACATAGAGCTGTAGAGTACCCTGAATTAAATATAGGGTTCTGGACAATGCTTCTGGTCTAATTGAATCAAGAATAAAGCCAGATAGGGAGGCCCAGATAGTGTGACCTGAACTCATCATGTTTTGATGTTAAATTGCCTGGAAGTCGTTCATCAGCCTTGTATGCCGGAGTTTAAGGCTGTTCTCCTCATTTCCTTTCATCAGATCTTATTCCACTATAATACAGCTACCATTTAATAACCACTTTAGTTGCTCCTAAAAATTCCTCCTGTTTATAGCCGAGGCTGTGTTTAGGCCTTTGGGATGTCAGGCTGCTAAGCAGGAACACAGTAAATCAGCAGCCTTGACATCCTCAACAGCCTTTAATAAAGTTTTGGAAAGGTTTCACCGTCTGTTTAAGGCCTTGGAGCCCTTTTCTTTGTCTGACATAAATGCTGGGGTAAACACTTCTGGCCAGTAGGAAAGGAGACCGTTGACGTGAAGAGTGATGGCCTGTAGATCACATATCAGAGATAGTTCAAATGCATATGGCAGCAGTGATTTAAAAGCGTTGGCCCATGCCAACAGTGTGGCATTTGGAATGACATATCTGAACTTTCAAAATACTTCTGGTACGAGAAGGCCAATGGGAAAACAAATTGATCGGGAACTACCATGTCTTATCGGTACATTTAACAAATGTCACCAACTTTATGGCAGCAATCAACAAATATTGAACCTTTCTGAGAGTGCTTTAAATAAATTCTTAACAAACCTGCCCAAAAAAATGAACTCAGAAACTTACTCCCACTGTAATATCACTTCAGAAAGGTTCCCTGCTGCAAATACACATCAATGCCATAAAGTCATTCCTCTGCATAAAAGTTCAGAAATGAAACATAACTCACTTCTGATAACTCATTATTGTGTTTAAAACACTATCAAATTGGGGGAAATGTTTAATTCTGTTTTCAAGCTGCCATCTAGCTACAATATCAGACTGCTACCTTACTGAATCAAAAACACATTTCTCTGGTCAGCCAGCAATAGAAATCCACAGGAATATTAATTGAGTTACTTAAAAAGATTTGCCCTCTGTTTTTATAGACAGGACAACAGAAAATTTAAATCAGCCTCATTTTCATTTTCACACAAAAACTGTCAACACAAAGACCTCTACAGTTTATAGCTGAACACAGAAACTCTACTGCTGTTGTTGCTACTGTGAGCCGGTGTAAGCAGTGATAAAACCAGAGTCTGTCAACCACCAGATGACAGGAACCAGAGCAGACCCGGCCTGAGGGAGGAATAGCTCCCATTCCAGGCTCTCTGGTGACCTGCTCTGTGTACCCTGGGCCAGCATATAAAAGCATTTTGGGGACTGTGATGAGTGACCACAGGGGAGGGAGGCATTAAAGGCTCAAGAGGGTTTGATGGGGGTTGAGGTGGGGCTGGGTGGGGGTCTATCTACACCTTATACCTGCTGGGGTGGGCAGAGCAGGTGATTGTATCTACATCAACACACCATTAAAGCAATTACGATCCTGGACTTAACAGCCGCCGCAGAAGAAGTCACATTCTAATGGTGGCTACGGCTCCCAGGAGACTGGGGGGGACGGTGGGGAACCTGATACCTCACACACGGGAGGGATTGAGCCGGACACCACTTAAAGACCCCCTGCTCAACAACTTAAAAGACAGTGACCTGACACACCTGCTATCTGCAACCTGCAATCTAAGAATCCATCACCGCTTACTTGCTCAGCTTTAAGTTTGAATTTGCTCGAACAAACCAAGACTCGAGAAAAAAGAGCTGAAAATGACAATGACAAAACAAAAACAAATGAAACTCGATGAATTCAAGAGCAATATTTTTTTAAACTGATTCAAGTATTCCTTATTTATTACATTAACAGACAAATACGGTTAAAATTTAACAAGTTTTTCTTCCCTCAGATTCTGTCTTGCCCACCATTGCATTTTTATGGTCTGACAGACTTCAAGAAAAGACCACATAAAAATAGTAATTTCAAGATGTCTGGCCAGAAAAAGTCGCTAAAGGATACTTTATGATTTTATATTCTTTCATCTTGAATTCCTTTTGAAAACAACTTTTTATAGTCCTCCAAGTTCATCAAGCTCTGCAAACACAGATCCATTAATCATGATGCTTGCACTTTCAGTCAGAAAAATGGGGATAGAAGCTCTAAATCTTTCATTTTCAACTTCTGCAGATAAAATCATTTTTACTTTTTTGAAAGAGTGGTTTAACACTTCTCTGACAGACAAGAAATTCAATCTGAATGTGACTTTTGGGAAGCAGTAAGCAAAACATCCCTGTTCAGCGCCTTTTTCAAAATGTCTCATCAAAATAATTAAAGATCACTTACTGAAAATTTCAATATGCTGATTCTCATAAAGTCTTTTTTTTTCCTCTTGTCCTTATCTATAAAAATTTTTAAAAAAGAGAAATAATATAAAGCCCTTTATAGTCAAAATCATTCAAGCAAAACTGGTTTCAACAACAGCCGAAAGTAAAATCACACCATCTACAATCTTTTGGCTGAGCCAGAAAGCAGCCATTTTACACACCAGAAAACAGCAATCCAGAGAGATAGTCCAGGTGTTTACATTCCCCTGCTCTCAGGACAGCTTCACACTCAGGTGAGCACGCAAACATACGGACAGAAACACAAAATCATCTCCTCTAAGCAAAAGCTACTTCGGTTAAATGGGCAATCTTCTGTCCCCCCTTTATCACTCTGACTTACATCTTTTTAGCATTAACAGTAAATAATTCCTCTAATTCAAAGACTTGAGATCCTTTCGGACCCTCACATCATAGTTGATTTTGGGAACTTAAGGCCTTTTACATCTTAGTGTATTTTATGTCCTATGGAGCTCTAAGGATCTGACTGAAGGAAGGGGCCTAATGGCTGATGCCCCCTTACCAGTTCCCTCCATTGGTCTTACCTCACTGTAAGATGTGGTGGTCCCCGTCTCCAGGTACAACATGTTTGCGCTGAGGTTGAGCAGAGCTGCTGCTGTTTGCTCCACTGGCTCCAGGGTTCCACAAATCTTTTTTTCTCACTCTAAAGGAGTGATGTGGACGACAGTCCCAAAGTGGACAACAAGAAGCTTCTATAGGAATCTATGGGATGTCATATATACCAGGAAGAGGAGGAGTGGTCTAAGATACCTGTCCAAATCCTGAGTCCACACCCATCAGCAGGAGAAGCTACCTCTCCCTACTCTGCCTTTGAAGCTCTGCAGGATTCCCCACAGGTATGAGTTAAGTAGAGAATTACTATTTTGTGTAGTCAGCGCTGCAACAAATCAAGCTCCAAAAACATGAAAGATGCTTAGCTCAGGTTGCATTGCCTTTTCTCAACTTTACAATACAAGACAAAAAAAAAATCCTGTTTGAGCGACAAAAGATACACGCAAGAAAACTTTTATCTCAACAACACCTTCCTCACTGAATTCATGCCTGTAACATGTAAAACGTTCAAAGGCATTTAATGCATCTTGAAAGTGATGTTAAAAACTACAAAACAGGCAAATCCCACTGTGGTAAATGATAGACAGCATGACTGCCAAATAAATGCAGAGAAAATTCACAAGAGTGGTGTCTGGAGTTGGGGGTTATCCTACAGTAACTCGTTAGCATAAGAATCACTCCCCTTTGCAGAGCCCACCCAGAACAACAATGAGACTCCTGTAGATTGCTTGTATCTATCAGAGATAACTGATGTAGATCTGTTGTAGAAACATGCATTGTGGCTCAGATGCTGATAATTGCAATAGGTCTCTACAACTGGCTCTCCCACAGATTCAGTAACCTCGCACACTTTTATCCCGAATAACCGATAAACTGATTTCTAATACTATGAGCCACATTATTAATGCACAGAAAAGATTTACCTCACAACAATTCAGACTGAATTTGGAGGGAAAATGTCAAACTTTAGCAGAGACCTTTTTTTTCAAAACAACTTAAAATTGCTGATTTTTACTCAACCAGCCTGAAACATGTTTTGGTGGAAAAACTTCAACTCCAGATGTCAAAAGAGCATGGCTACATTATTCACAAAAAAACAACAACAATGCTGTTACTTCAAAGTGTACTAATGCAGCCATTATTGAATATCCTCTTATAAGATAAAGAAGAAAGCAGTGTGCTGGGGAGAGCTTTAGGAAAAGCGTAAAAAAGTTATAAACCCGATGTTCTGCATTATTTTCAGCTTGCTTCTTACCCCAGGTTTTTAGTCTGATCTGCAAACACATTTCCACCCAAATCTTTTTCTTGATTTTTATCTATGATTTGGACTAGACACTGGTAATGCCTTAAAAACATCATATCAAATGAATACAAGCTTCAACATCATTATGTTTGTCCAGTAGTTACTGCTGTTTCCTGCACAGAAAAAAGAGAAAACCAGTTATCAAATGTGGTTTGTAACTCTATATTTATATTTCTACTGCAGCAATCACAGTATACTGACAAATGTTGTAGTTTCTGATCAACATAGAAAAATGTGAGGATCTAAATGACCCCCTTTAGTCTACCTTTTATTTACCCTGTCTTGAGAAACACAGTCCCAAAGATCACAGAGCTGTTTAACAGCCTAGCCTCCGGATTTTCAGGTTTGTGCATTCAATGTTCAAAAGTGAAAGTAGTTAATAAAAGATTGACAACTTTTTCTGCTGCAAACACAGAGTCATCCTGCAGATGTAAACATGACCTACACTGACAGACGGCTGCTTTGTCAGAGGGGTGAAAATCACTTCTCTTACTACTAACACCACAGAGCCACAGGGCTGAAACTCCTGCCCTGTGGTCAGAAGGATTTGAAAGCTGTCTGAAAACTTAAACTATGACCTGAAGTCAGTGTCTCCAATCAGCAGACACACCCTGTTCGGGCCCTGAGGCTACAAGCCCACAGGTCAGCCTGTCACAAAGGCAAATCAACACTTTAAAGAGCCCCGATTCAATTGCCTCCCAAGGGACGGAGGCGTCAGCGAAGACCTGGCCAAACCCTCTGAGCGTGATAATTAGTTTAGCTAAACAAACTTCTAATTATGCTAAAACAACATTGGCATCTGAAAAGAAGTTAGAGCACTGAGAGTCAGGGTGAGGCTGTAGTAAAATATAGAGTGATGGCTGTAATCCAACAGGGCAAGACAGACTTTGAGAATTGACCTATTAATGCATGTGACATTCAGGCTGCAATGAACTGCAAAAGTCTGGTAAATCACCAGATAATTTAGACTTATGAAAATCGCACAGTTTTGTTGAAGCCAATAGAAGAGTCTATGTGAAATCAGTTTTTACATAGAATCAGATTTCATCTTAGACACTAAAATAAGTTTGGAAACAACACCCTTTTTCCATCCATCCTGACCTCAGAGAGCGTTTTCTTATCTCTGTTAACTTCATCACCTCAGATGCAACAGCGGTGAGAAACTGAGAAGAGAGTCAAACCAGGCAGCAGCTAAAGATCTGCAGATCCAGGGGCTCAGACAAAAGAAGCTTTACTAAAGTTCCTCTCTTTAGAGGGCCTGTTCCTTAAGTCAGCTAGATTAGCTTTGTATCAGGTGTCAGGCTGCAGTGGCTACCAGGGCACAGACACCTGCCCTGAAAACAGTAAAAGCTCCCATCCACACTGACAGACGCAGGCAGTCAATGGAAACAGAGAGCATCACCTGGGTGGCAAGAGTTAAAACCCCCTCAATAAACCAAAGCCCTAAAATGCTCTTCTTGAGCTGCTTTCAGTAGAACAAACTTACCTACTGCATAACTTGACAATGCCAATTTACCTTCAATTTGATAAAAAAAGATGTGTTTTAAAGCTAAAAGGACCAATAGATTACTTAATTAGTTATCAATCACTGACTGTGTCTAGATTTATCACTTTGTTTATTTTTTCATTATTTTTTTCTGACAAAAAACTGAGTAACTGCAACTGCTTAGGACCAGGATACAAACACAAATATTCAAACATAATGGGATGAACGGCTTGATAATAAATACAAATCTGCATTTTATACACATTGCAAGTTATATTCAAACAGGTTTACCTTCTCAAAGACAGTCTATGTATGATTGTTTGAAAATTTATCAGAAAACTTTAAAGGTACACTTTATAGGATTAAACAACATTTAGCACATTTGCTGGAAATGGAGTATAATATTCATAAGTTTGTTGAGATAAGCATATATTTACTAGGGGTGGGAATTACCAGTGGCCTCACGATATGATATTATGATGATACTTGGGCCATGATATGATATTATTGTGACATTTAACATTTTACAATGCAGTGAGTATTGTGGTACCATATATTATAATCTATATAATTTTTTCAACTGTTTAGCTAATTCAGCATTTGTCTTTCCTTTATGTTTGTCTTATTTACACAGTATTCTATTTTCATGTAGCACATCTTTTAAACCTTATGTGTCAGGTCCATCTCATTTGCGCCCTGCTTGCATTCCTAATGTCTTTCCCCAGGTGCTGTTATATTTGTTTGCACTAACTTTCTCCTGCTCTTTAATGTCACCTCTGCCAACCTCACTGGACAAACAGTTGATTTTATTGTTTCCATTTCCATAGACCTGAGTTTATATTAGCTATTAATTTGAAAAAATCTATAGTTGGTAAATGAGCAAGTATAAAGAATATAAAATATTTTAGTTGACAAGGACAAAGCCTTTTTTTTTTTTTTTTTGCTACACAAGGAGCAGGTCTCCCTCTGCTGAGACCGCCATCTTGCACTGTCATGTTTCTATCACAGGTCAGAACAGATAAAAGAAGTGATTTTGTATTTAGTGAGTATTTGCCAGAAATGCACTGGTCAAAAGACAAAGAAAAGGAGGAAGAGGAGGGTGGGTTTTGTTCATAAAATAACTGCATTTTAGATTTTTTTCATACTGAAATCTTGACGAATGAACGATTATACTTCTCATGCATCACAAGTTCTTCCATGTCCTTGAGGGCCACCTTTGCCTCACCGTCCAAAGGGAAGAGCAGGGGTGCATCTCAATGATCAGACTACAGTCCACAGGCCCTCCTGAGTTTCCAGGCCTCTTTAATTTATAGTAGAAGCTCATTATTCAGGGCATTTTTCCTTGTATGTTCCATCGAGGTTACTTCCACTATCAAAGAAAAGCACTATTCTCTCATAAACTGATATGTGTTTTATTTATTTATTTCAAAAAGAAGTATCTAGCATTCATTTATGCAAACTACTGTTTTCATCAAAGCCTGAACAAGACTTTCTGAGTTTCTTTCCAACTCTCTCCACATCAGTATGGTTGAATTCTCAAAAGTGTTAAAAAAGTACTGAATTAAAATCTGGTATTATAAAGAAATCAATGCGGATAACTGATGTTTCACAAAAGCCATTTGTGGGATTACTGCTAGGATTTATTCATGCATTCTCTCTCACACAGGGTGTGACCTACAAGTTTTTCAGTTGAACCTGGCGGGATATGAAACTGCTGTAAGAAAGTACAGCTGAGCCTGTCTGAGCTGTAAAAGGATGTAAGAAAAAATACAAAGATAGGCAGATAGGGGCTTCTTCCGTGGTAGCCCCACATCTAAAGTCAGACAGGGTCTCACTCTGACTCACGGTCTCAACAGTTATTCAAGCGGACCGTGGCAAGCACTCGTACCTCGGTGCTACACCTTTAAAAACACCTACTAACATGCTGGAGGCAAACTGGTGGAGCATGAACACATAAAAGAAGAGCTTAATACAGTTGCTTACTTCAGATTAAAAACAGAGCAGATCTCAAACAGAAAGTCCAGTAAGATGAGATTTAAGTCGTGCTTCTTGTTACTCTACTTTAAAACAAAAAGTAAAACTAGTATTGTAGCACCAGAGAGGTACAGCTGCAAACAAAGAGTGACATGGACTGATTATTAACATACTTTTTATCTCATAGGGTGAATACAGAGACTCGCACTATGAATATACCAAAGAAGTAACATTCAGTTTAATGATAATAAACATAGTTGCACCACATTCAGCAAATTCTTTAACATTCTTAAAAATGTAAAAACTGTAGTGGAATCAGATCAGTCATTAAAACGGAGGAGGACCATCACACACCAGACACACAAGCCAAGGTGGAAAAAGAGCAGAATCCTAACACAAACATGTAATCAGATCTCAGGACGGCTGCGTGTTGATTGAGCTACTCTCTGCTGTAAAGTTTTTTAAACTCTCCCTCTTGTACCTGAAACACCCTGTGTCCGTCTGCTCAACACTGCGTCCTCCACGCACAGCTGATCAGAGCTTTATCTGGGTGTAAAATCAGCTGTTTGGGGTGGGATATAGCGTTTCTCCTGCCACTATTTCTGCTGCATTCCTTCATGTTATTCTACCCTCTGCTTGCTCCCCTCCTGCCCCCCTTTGTTACCACCCCCCACCTTCACATAGAGGAGACACGTACTGATAGATGAGAGCTGGGACCTCTGCGAGAGAGGCAGGTGCTACGTTAAATTGTTGCCCTGCAGCTACAGAAAAAAAATCCAGCAGAAAAAGGAATTTCAGATTAAACATAAACCCTACACAATACAAATAAGTCCCCCAGGGCACTAAACACTGAGCTGCATTCTAATGACTCATGAAGAGGCACACCTCCACTGGGGGGAGGCGGGGGGAGGTAGGTAAGGGTGGTTTTGCCCACCTTCTCTTTTCATCCGAACAGACACTTGACTTGGTAATAACTATCAGGGCTTGGTGATTGGCAACCTGCCATCAGAGCAAGGTTTTAAGCCCCACACGGATGCTGCCTGAGTTGCTGGCGTGCCAATCAGCGCACCACGCCCCTCTTTGGTGGAGAGGAAAGTGGGTGGTGGTGGGGGTGGGACCATTAATCACCAGTTCAAGAGAGCACAGGCCCCCTGGGGGGATGCGCAGGGTAACATTACTCAGCTCCTTGAACACAATTTTTATTTGCTATTTTTTTCCACTCTGGCTGGACAACGGCATTCCTGCACAGGGAGGGGAGCAGGCACATCATCCCTCAGCAGCAGCAGAGTTGGCAGAAAGACAGATGTCCCTCACTACAGGTCAAACTGAAGGGAGTTGACACAGTGCATTGATTTATGCACATCTACCTACCCACAGTAGTTTTTTTTTTCAAGTTTATCTGTAATATGTTCATCTTGTATGAATCATTAAAAGAATCAAGTCCCCCTTATTGCACCATGTGTCTATTATTTATCTTCCAAAGCAGACACAAGAAAAGCAAATGTTCATTAAAAAATCATCCACTATCCAGCCTGTGATTGCCTGAGTCCACATTTTACCACAAACAGACTCTGAGAACCTCTTGTCTCTCAGAAGGCCACCCAGGTCAAGCACAGCTCTGGCTGAATGAGATAATATCAGCACAGACAACATCTCGGAATAAAAACAGATAACCCGGGCTCATTCTCAGCCTGACGATTACCTCTGCACATCATTTTCTTACTTGACTTTCCCTGGGAAATTCCATTCTTAACAAGAGAATTGAAAGCACACTCTGTGTTATAAAACTTGAGGACTTCATGGCTGAAGGTTCGGTTGACTCAGAATGAAACTAATCTCAAACAGTACAAGACCGTGGATCACACGTATGTGCACAAAAGTATTTGGCAAAGTCTCGTAAAATTTTAAGGTACTTCACCTTAAATAGGCTTTAAGCTGACTTAGGCCAATAAATCAATTAGCAACACTAACAGTATGTTGCATGTCATGGTCCTGTTACTAACAAATCAACCAAATTGGAAAAAAGCTATTTTACCGGCACGCACTATGACGTACGACTACATATACTGTACAATTTTACCTTACCATCACCAAGTTATCAGAAACGTTTACACAGCTCAATACTAAAGTCAGACTCGGCAATACAAGCATGATTCAAGCCTGACATGGCAGATAAAAGTTTTAAGACTCAGAAAAAGATGATTTCATATTTTGTTGTGCGTCAAATCGAATGGCAATCAAGAGCCGCATAGGGGAAAGTCCTGAAAGCTTAAAATTTTCTTTCCACCTTTATGATGAGTTTCATCACTTTTGTGGGGACGACCGGTGAGAGCACTGTGTGCAAAAATCAGTGAAGCAGAAGAACTGATAGTCCATACGGTAAACAATACATGCATGACCTACAGACGTGACCACAGTCTGTCTTATCGTGTGCTCTTCTGAACATAACTCATCAAGTATCAAACACTGCTTCAGATGGCATTTTTTTTACACTCCTCTTACTGGGTGTCGTCTAGCTGAGCCTCTCTTTCTTCCAATGTATTGATTGGGTCAGGAGGATTGGTTGTGTTTCTTTGTCTGCCATGTCTATCGGTGAAGCCATGTCATGGGTTAAGTCTCTGTGATCACCTAATCTAACACAGTTTCTATCAAAACAAACAAGAAGATTTTGTAGTCTTAATCTGGTGTAAAAACACAGATGAACACTTATCAGATATTAGTATGTCTTGTCTTTAAGGCCAGATTTTAACCTGCTACATTGTTTCTGCTATTAATACCCCTGCTCTTGGAGGATTTTTTGTGAACTTCACAGAGTTTTACTTACAGCGGTAATCAATATAATCATTTTTGGTAACACTTTACAATAACCATAACTTATAAATGGTAAATAGACCATTTATAAATGGGAAGCAAATAGTTTTTTAATTTTTAATCATCATTGATAAAAAGCTATAGACCATTAATAAATTCTACATTTCACAACTTAAAAAAACATAACCCTAACTTTACAATAACCATCTAAGTAATGGTTATAGGTGGTTTATAAACCACTTATTAATGATTAACATAGTATTACAAACATCAGATGTAACATTACAATAACCATTTAAGTAATGTTTAAAGATGGTTTAAAAAACAAATATTAACCACTTACAAATTGCTACTGATACACATTTTAATCTAGATGTTTTACAACCAATTTTTAAACCCTATATAAACCTTAAATAAATAGTCCAATAATAATTAATGAAAATTATTAATCATAATTTCATCGCTTGTTAAGGTAAAGTAACTATTAACTTACATTAATAAACTATCTATTTGCCATTTATAAATAATGGTTATTGTAAAGTGTTACCCCAATTAGTCCCATTTGTATTTCTCAGTTTCACTGTGCATAAAACGCAAATCCTATATTGTTTCAGACGAGGCATAAATGACTTTGTGTTACCAGTGGTGACACTGGTAATTCTGTAAACAACAATAATCCAAATATGTACCACCCAATCTATCATGAAAAAATTGTGGTTCTATGCACTACTTTTGGCAAAAAGTAGTGTTTTCTTGCTCTACCTCACATGTAATGTTAAACTAAACAGAGCCAGATAACAATGGGGAGGTGTTGTTGTTTTGACTATTGTTAATGCATTGTTATCTTTTCATCTCTGACTGTGGGGGGTAAGACAGGCAGCACTATCAAAACTTAAACCAGTGTTTTCCTTGTAAAGCAAACCTACGTACTTACAGAAAGTGTCTCATCTGGCTCGTGCATGGTTATGCAGTCCATACTGATCTGAATGGTGTTTCCTGCAGACCTTTCAGTCGGACTCTCTGTGAAGTTAAGCTCAATGGGCTGAACTGAATGAACGGCAGACCTGAAACACAGGACACCGTTCACACTGGAAAACAGTCTGTGTATTTATTTTAAATTTTTTTGATGGTGTGTTTGTTTTTAGCCTTAAGTATTTTATTATATGATTCACTTACTGGTCCAGCATATCGAACAGTTGGTTGAATACATCCTGGCTGAAGAAGTCAGATGTCTGTGCTGACTGATTCTGGGACATAGCTGTGAGGAATGAGCTCTCTCTCCACGATAAACGTGATGAGGGGTCCCTTAGTCTGCAAAGAGACACAATCAACAACAACTGTTCTCATATTAAAACTGTCAATGTAAAATGAAATGATCTGATGATTTTGAAATGCAGTTTTAACAGTTGAAATGTCAGTAAACATTCAACATAAATGTGGATGTGCAGGGCTAAGACTGGGCCACCCAGCCAGGGGAGGAAAAGAGGAGGAGGAGTAGGACGAGAAGGAGGAGTCCTGCTGGCAGCCATTCATGAAGGGCACTTCCATTGTGAAGAAGTCAGCCTGCATAATACTGAATATTTGTAGTACACATAATGGTGATTATGCACCATTCAGACAGAGGCACTTTGACCTGCTCCCCTGAAACATTACACCTGCTTCACAGCTCAGCCTGCCATTGTTCCTGCTGAAGTGGCGTACGCAGGAGTCTGAGACAGGCGGAATTCCCCCCACAGACTATATGATAGCACTGCTGCAACTTCTGGTATGTGTACAGCTGGACGGACATGGGGGGGGGGGGGGGGGGGGTATAATCTGAAGCTGGCACTATTTTAGGTTTTGGAATTCCCCAGCACTGTGTGATGAATGATATTAATACCTGACTTACAAACACAGGCATATCTAATGAGGCAAAGAAAAAATTAACTTGTACAGGAGGCAGACAAGAGGGAGTGATGAGCTGACAGTAAAGATTAACTGAGTTTGCAAAGTCCAAATACCATAAAAGTGGATTAGGCCAAGTGACTGTTCTAAGTTTTAGCATAATCAACATTATGAGGAGGCTTTGACTCCACAAAAGTAGCAATATACAAAGTTGGAATTAGGGGACTAACTTATATTTCAATTTGACTAGAATTTGGCACGCACTCCTCTCACTCACATGGAGGTGGTTTGGTTTGCAAAGACAGATGTTGCTAAAACACCCCAATCTGCTGTCTGTATCAGAAGGCTGTTGACAGCTCAACAACTAACTAGTCCCACCGTTCACAACTTAAGCTCTGCACAGTACATGAAGAACATGACAAGCTTCAAGAGACAGTGATCAAACATGGTCAACCAGCTAAGGTATCAGCGGGACAAAAACACACCCAGCAAACATTAGCAGAGCCATTCAGTAAAACACTGTCTGGTTTGAATGGTTAATAGAAAAGACCTGTTTCTCATTATACGTTTTTTTGTATTTTTATTATTAACATCTGTACTGTAAATATGATAATCAGTCTAGCACAAGGCTTTTTACTGACACATTTATTTTCCGTTTTACATATATTTTAAGGAGTGCAAAATGTTGACCCCCAAAATATCAAGATCCACATTTTTGTCAGCCTCCTTCACCCCTTTACCTAATATGATTTTTGTCTTCTTTTTTTTTGCTAGCAAAAGGTAGACATTTATTGCATGCACAAATATATGGAATTTAAAACAAAGAGCAGCATATATAACCATCAAACACACTCATAAAACTACATGTCCCTCATAAACACAGACAAAAAATAGCAACATCAAGTTATTCAATCAAGCATATAAAGTTACACTATAAAGTAGCATGCTGACTTCAAACTGCAGACTGTGTTAAATGTATTTTAATAATCACGTCTTTTGTACTTTGTAACAAAGAGTGGTGAAGCACCCATCATTAAAATTAATTAAATGATTATTAGTTAAGCACATTGAATAAACTGCAGCTAAGAGCTGACACGGAAATGTAACTGGACATGTGAGCTAGCTTAACAGTTGTGGCAAATGCACAAGCTAGCCTTTGTTTGGCTGCTGTCCTCATAAAGTAATACTGTCGTTGTGCAAAATGAAATAATGTAACAACTTATTACGTTATGAGTGGATTATTACAATATGACCTTTTATTACATTTAAGTAATTACCTTTTGAGCCATTATTACATTATGAGTTGTTATATACCTGACAAAAACACTGAAAAGTAAATGCTTTGTATGAATGGCTAGAGTATTAATCATTTATACAATTGAAATAAAAGATTTAATCATTACAAACTCTATTTATTCTTAGTCTAATAAAGTCCAACTTTTCAAAATATCTTAGTGGAGATCAGGAGGAAAAAACGCCTCTGGGTTTTGGTGCTTTAGCTGTTTTGTCTGAATATGAATTTAAAAATGTGTTAGTGTCGTTAACAAAATAAACAATAATGTGGATGGGTTTTTAAGTAACTGTCACCTTCTCAATCTCAAAATATATGAGCAAAATAACCAGCTGTGGTTATTGTTTAATTGTGCATTAATGGAGTCAAGGAAGATTCTAGGTGTGGTCCCTTTACTGGCCTCTCCTTCAGCTTAACTTCATTTGATTTTGACTCAAATATTCCCTTTAATTAGGCTGTTTCACTCGTTCAACTGTCATCTCATTAAGTTTTAAATAGCTCTGTCTTAAATCACTGTTTGAACAGTGAATATAAATGTAAAACTGGTGCATTAGGTTCAGCTTACTGCTATCCACAGTGAACTGGTCTCCCTCTGTTGATGTCCTGGGCTAACTTGTAATGATCTGTGTGCACTCAGCTCAGTTTTACCGATGTGTTCCATGTCTTATACGTGCAATACTATCCTTGTATTTCTTGGAGTCGACAGTAAAATGTTCAAAAATATATATATTTTTTAAATTTGACAGAAACATTTTTTCCAAAGTGGCCTATAACTGAATGCACATTTCAGTGAACTTTGCATCATTTTTGTTGCAGAGACTTTGGTACAAATCATTCAACAGCTAAATGTAAACCATGGTTAAACACAGTAAACCTGAGTTTTTAAAATTTAGTTCTTTAACATCCACATGGATGCACTAAGAGCAATCTCAGCATTTTGTTTCACTGTTCATTAGGCTTTTAGAACATTTAGCTGTTTTATATTTTATAAGCTGCCAGGATAGATTGGTTTATCCCTGTTCTGGTGGTTGTTTGTCTGCTTTCTGGTGTCTGGTTACTCACAGAGTTTTTCAGTTTGCCCGAGGCAAAGGCTGTTCAGCATCCACTTAAAGACGAAGCAGCGCCTCCAGACGAGACTGGGGCAAAGGTCAGCACTAAACAGGGATGGCCATTGTCTCTTGGCAGGTTGGGCACACCGACCGATGAAAATGCAATCAAAACAAACAGACCAGCCGATCGGGGCCCTTCTCCTGTGTCCTTATTAATCACCTGTTCAAAGCCCTAATACCCTCTCCTCCTCATCTGTCAGCCCTGGCTGGAAGAGGGACATGACTGCAAAACAATAGAAAGCCCCAAAGTTTGTCCCCCTCTTATCCCCTTACTTTTATAGAAGTGAAACAGTCTGAAGTCAAATCCTCTGGGGCAAAACAAAAAGCACAAATTCCTCCGAGGTTAGGAATGCAAAGAAAACCACTGAGGAAGAGAATCAGTGGACCAAAACAATACCCTTTGACTTAAAGATGAATAAAATCTGAAAGAAAGCAATGCTGGCAAATCTGTCTTTGCTCAAAAACAGAAAAAAAAAAGAATCATGAATTTAACTTCAAATTTGTGTCAGTGTGATCACCAAGGCCAAACAGATGGCTCATGGACGCCAAAGAGGGTGATTTTCTTTTTTTTTTTTCAACTTTATGAGCTGGAGTCATGCAAATAATTCTTATTACTGACTGTTTAACTCAAATATTCTATGGCATTTAGCACTAAAGAGAAGTTATGTCTAATAATATCTTATGAATATAGTATTAATGCACAGTGACATGATACAGTTTTCCAAACCAGACAGTAGCAAGTGCAGTAAAATTAGAAGCCAAAAAATATGGGGCAAAAAGTTAACCAGGGTCTTTTGTAAACACAACTCTGTTGAATACTTCCATGAAGATTAAAACAATGGGCATGTATGTCTCACAAAGCAAAATCACAGGTGACAGAAAATAAGATGTATAGTGACGCCAGAGCTGATCTACAGAACTGAACTTTCACTGTCAATTTAAAACCTGTCAGCATCATGAGGCTACTATTTTTATTTTTAATATATGGACTCACTTATATTCATACATGTACACTGACACACAGATACAGAAGACAGACAGACGGACGGACCCTTCCGTACAAAATGTCAATAACAATAACCCTTTGTGCATCGCACGCTTTTTCTTGAATGACTATCTATCCTTTCAGATTTTGACATAAATATTATATGACGACAGCTGGGTTCAATTCTGCCAAATGAAGAAGAAAAAAAAGGTTGATCCAGTCAATTGAAGAATAGATTATCAGGATGAGGGTGCTCACAGGATTTCCAACTTGTGGTTGCACTTGTAGTTCTTGACCTCTGGATCAAGAACTACGTTTATTTTCTTTTAGGTTAAATGAGCCCTTCTCCAAAAAGAAGAAGCTTCACTTTCCCAAATTATCCTGCTTTAAAATGTTATTTTTGCTGGATTGAGAAAAAAGAACATTCATGACTAAAAGGTACACAAAATTACCCTCAAATTTGCTGAGGTGAACCCAGGAAAGCCCCAATTCCCGTCCTGTGTATTTTAAAAAAGAAATCACTTGCTTAAAACCAATCAAACCCAAATACATTTTTCTTAACCACACCCAGATGTAGCATTGCTGGCCCCCTTGGGACGAAGCCCACCTTAATGGGTTAGGCTAAAAGGGCCCATTTCTGCTGAATTCTTGTTATCTTTTATGCTTAATTTTACTACTTTATTTTTCTCAAAATGAAGCCCCTGAACTGAAGAAGTTTAATTTTACTTGTATGATCAAAGAAATGATAGTAATATGATATATTAAAAATTGGTCAATTAATTAACTAATCAAATACTGACTCTGTCTTTAGATATATATGATACTGATTCATAACAGATGTTATTTCCTCATTTCAACTCATCCAGTCGGTCAAGATTTGCTCTTGTCCCACTTTAATCCACCAAAACTAAATCAAATAGATGGATAGTTTAACAGGTAGATTGATGGGAATTATAAGTACTCTACCATATGTATCACATTTTTCATGTTTATTGTTTTATTTTATTTTTTCGTATGGCCTGATGTTTTTTTTTTTTTTAAATAACTTTAACCTAAAAACTTTTTGTAAAGTTGTGGGTGATTTCTATTTTTTGTGTAAGTTTTCTCCACACTCTTACATCCTGTTTGAATCCCTGAAGATTGTATCATTATGTAGCATGGCGCTTATTTTAATGTTGATAATTTAACCTGATTACCCTGAATTATAGTTATAAGCTACAGGTTCAGGAGGTAAAGATGCAACATTCAAGTCTGACGTGATGTTATTATCATAACACTGATTAAAGTACAGGAGACTCTTGAGGCCCGAAATGCCCAAATGTGACATGCTCTTGATTCAGTGGCATTAATTTGGAGTTCTGGGTTAAAACCTCTGCAAAACATCCTCTAAAAAATGACTTCCATCCAAATTGCTCAAAGTCAAGTAGAGTAAAAATCAAAGGAACAAAACTGAATGATTACACTGTCATGTAACCTGTCTGCCATTTTGGCCTTGATGGCCTTTTACACATGCATTGTTGCCATAAGTGAGCCACACTTATAAATACATGAGGGCAGAGCAGCAGCTGAGGATCCAGGCAGACACAACTGTTCTCAGGTCACTTTGGACCTCCAGACACTCTCAGTCTGGGTTCTCGGCCAGGTCACAGAGAGAGAAGGGAGATTCCCACTGTGGTTAATAGATTCAACGTTTTCAAACTGCTGCGTAAAGAGCTAGATCACATTTGACTGAATACACCTGTGACACCGAACCCCATGTTAAATCTATGCTGAGCCTTTTTGAAACCGATTATCCTGCCTCTGGATTCGATATTGTAATAATAATAATGATAATAATAATAATAAGCGTAATGATAGAATAATAAGAAAGATAAAATCTTCAGCTTCTAGATTGTAAACCATAAACCATGATGTTTGTACTCACCGATGAAAGGCAAACTCTGGGTAATACTGCACGGCTGTGTAAGGTGAATTCATGTTGTCATGCCAAACTTCCCTTTGCTGAAATCTTCTGAATTATCAGCTGGTCATAAAGACACATGTATCAACAACCGCTCATGAGGATAAGTGACTAAAATAAAAATAAAAAATCCTAAATATACATAAATAAAGGCCTGGATTAAAGTGCCTGAGGGTACAGTGCAGAGTGGAGGGACTTTGAGAGATGTTTTGAATTTAGGTATTTTTTCTTAGGCTAGCCTACAAACAGGCGGGGCTTGAGCCTGCTCACTGACCAATCCCCAGCTACAGTTGTAAAAGATATCACTCACGCTCAGTTGCTAGGATATAGATATCAAGCAACTACATTTGACCCTGCATTTCCCAACCCACCCACCCACCCACTCAACAAACACAGCTCACTGACCACTGTACTGAGAAGCTCACCCGGGTCTTTCTCTGGCTACTTCTGATATTTCCACACAGATTCCCTAGTGGGTTTGCTGGTTGAAGGCACATCTGTTGCATCATGCTTTTCAGTCTAGGGTTTAAGCATGCCCTAAATACAGTTTGAATACCACAGATGGTTGATTCTGTGCCGATTCAGCAAAAGATTTGGTCAGTGTATGACAAAATCACCCAAATATTTGATTTGAAGGAAGTGAAACAGCATCTTAAAGGTCTAATAAGATGTAAAATGAGCTGTTAACAGAAAATAACCCCGCTGTATCCTCTTTAAGCTCAAAGAAGTGACAGAAAGACACTCTAGACAAGATATAACCCTTTGAAAATCCTTTACAGTAGCTCACATAAACTCTTATTTCAGCACGCACACATATCATGCTAACATCTTAGCACATACTTCTAATTCAATATCGGACTCTTCCTCTCATCCAAGTACTATGACACCGTAAACCTATAGGTCTTTTGTGGTTTTCGGAGATGAACTGAAGATGAATCAGCGGGCTAAAATAAAAGGAAGGGTCACGGCAGGGGGAATGATAATAAATAGATGTGGTGTATCCAGGGAACACAAACCTCTAAGCTGCTCTCTTGTACTTTTAATAAAGACATACAGCCTATCTCTCTCCTTGCTGACTGCCTGCGGTTGCACCTATGAGAGAGAGAGTGGTGATACAGCAGGCAGGCACACTGTGGGCCAACAGGGTGACATGACACTAACAGCCACACAGCTGTTCATTTGGACAGAAACTCCACAGAAGTTCCAGTGACTCAAACAAGATTTTTGACATTGTCAAACTCCTGCAGTCTCTCAATAACAGACATAAAAAGACCATATAGGGTAGTTTTTGGTATTGTTTGATGTGCAAATGAGTAATTTTCCTTATTCTGCTGGGTTTCTTAATTAAAAGTCCCTTGAGTAAAATCCAGACTTCCACTGAGTCTCAACCCCTGTTTATTTTGAATGAATGTATTGATTATTATTGGACTGAAAAAGTGCCATCTTTGGGTGTGATATCGTGGTCTTACTGAAACTTCTGTTGGGTTTATATGTGATTTGTTCATATTGCAGCATACAGTCTGCTCCTTTTTGTTACTTTTCATCCAGCTGGCTTTAAGCCCGGGAAGGTAAACAATTCAGCAGCTTCTTGGCTGATGAGGAGCGTCTCCATTGTTGACAATAACATTCAATCTGGTGGAGTTTTGTTATTTTTTAATCTATCACACATAATATAATTATTTTGACAGTACAAACATTTTAAACGAGAGAGCTGGAAGTCATGTTGGCTTAGTTTAAAGATACCAAGAGAAATTTTTAACCTATTTAAAAAATCAGACCGCCTTCAGACTACCTACAAAGCAAACCAGACCATCAGAGAGATGATTGATTATTTCAAGTGTTTTCCAGCTGTGTGAAATACTTGATTATGATTGGCCAAATTCCCATGTTCCAACAGGAGTGACAATCAGGAAACCTGATCACTCGCATCATATCGAAATAATCTGGCACACATGTTGCCTCAGCCTGTTTACACTATGGCAGAGCTGTGAGTTACTGCTAGCATTGTTAACCAGGAAATGTTTAAGTAGTGTCCTTCAAAATAAAAGCATAGATGTCCAATGCAGGTTATAAAGCAAACTAAAAGCAAGACAGAAAAAAATATATCACACTACCTTTCCCAAATAAGTTTTAGTCAGAGGCATGATAATAAATCATACATTTGAATGCTTTTATAAATGGGTGAGGACTTTTTATTTATTTGGGCTTATGAGGTTTTTTTTAAGTAATGTACAGCTCCCTTCTTGTCCTGCCTTTCCTCAATATCTCTAATTGGGTTGTTTGGATTTGATATCATGACAGCTCTTGGTAAAAATGTCAGTTTTAGTCTCAGACTGGTCTTAAAAGCCAGAAAATAATGATGGTTAGATGTAGGACAGAAGTCAGATGTGAGAGCAGCCTAAAGAGTTTCTGGACTATAGCCATTTAAAGTCGAGCATCACCATGTCCTGCAATCCATGTGACGGCTGCAGATCTAGTTAAAGCACCTTGAAGTTGCTGGTTGCTACAAAGTAACATAAAATATAAGCTGTATTGATAGTAGAAACTACATTTAAAGTTGTGACTTTTGCCTCTTTTGTGTTTATAGAAACTAGAATCTGTCCAGAGTAAGACTGCACCATTTCCTGCCGAGGTCCTATGCACGTTATCAGTACTCTATTAAACGAGACCACCCACTCACTGCCAGTTTTATACCTATCACAGCTGAGTCAGATGATAAGCTTTTCAACACTCCATCTAAACAGACTTTTGTACATTTCTCCACACCTTCATTGTGAGTTGCATGTTTCATTTGTGATTGAAGGCATGTTTTTGGTCCTATTTCTACAGATTGTAGAATTGAGATTTGTTTTAATAACTCATTAAATTGAGGCTTTTGCAAGTTTTGCATGATTAGTCACAGTGAGAGGCATGACTGACTTGATGGCAGGTTGGTACATTAAGGCTGCAGGCCCTCAACAATCCTTCCTCTTTGCCTCTAGCTCAGCTGATCAAAAGTTAGGTTAAGATAGCATTTCTAACTTGGTGATCAGCATCTTTGGTCCCTAAATCAAGTTATATTTTTTTAAGCATATAAACAAATGGATACCAATAAATTCCCACTGCAATGTATCCGACAGGCTGTCCGGCTAACTATTCCCCAGGGTTGGAGCAGTTGTTGTTAAGAGGCTCACTCTCTTAAATAAATTCCCTGTTGGCAAATAAAGGTCCAACACTGTAACTCACTTGTTGAAGGCGATTATCATGTTAATAAAAGCAGTTTCCCACCATTAAATCTTTTCATACACACTGTAGTCTACCTCTCAACAAAACAAGGACAAAGTGACCTCAAGATGTCATTAAATCTAATATTTACAGCAACACCTGAGACCCTTACATCATTAATTACTCTAAGGCACAGGCGTTAGGGACCAGTCACCAAACCCCTATTACTTCATATGAGATGCATGTGTGTGTTTATGAGTTGACAGCTACGTCAGTGACATCTCTGGCACTGTCATCAGTAAGAGTACGCGTATGTCTAATGTGGTTATTATCCCCACAAGGCTCCGATTTGAGAGCGCTAAGCAGGCTTTAATCTGCAATTGTATCTGCAGTCAAAACCATAGATAGCAGCAAGTATGATGTACAGCCTGGTACCTCCTTAATACATTTTGTTGGGTTCATCGTCCTGACTCCTGACGGCATTATGAGGCCCCATTCACACAGCCTTATTAATGTCAAAAGTTTACATACGGGATGCCAGAGAGCAGTTGTTGGAGCAGCTGATGAAGTAGCTCCCACGTTTGCTGCTCCATGAAGAGATGTATTATCAGTGTCAGTCACACACTCTACACTGTGGCCAATCACTCTTGCACTGTGAGGGGGTTATGTGGGCATACTTGTGTGCGTCTGTGTGTATATTCCAGTTGGTGACTAATGCAGGGGAAATCCAGATGAGTCAAAACTACCAGTGTCCGGTGCGGTGTCTGGGAGGTGATAATTTACAGCCTATGTACTAAACTGCCCAGCAACTTGGCATTGTTCATTATGACCCTATTGGGGAAACTATGGTTTCATTAAAAAGCAGGTTTTGATTGAAAGAAAGATTTAAACATAAAATCAAAAGCTTTTATAAACTTGCAAATAAAATTCAGTTCCCGGAGCATAGAATATTTTCTCTCTCATACAACCACTCTTAAACTTTAGTAGAGCCGCCAAAGATACAGGGCCATCCTCAGCTGTCACATGTGACCAGAAAAACCTGAACTTCCATTCTCTGATTCACTATTTGCGGTAATATCCAGACTCCCAGACTATTATTGATGCTTTCCCACGGTGTGATTCAACTTTTTTGTTTGTGTCTTTTGTCACAGTGACTTTTACACCTGATATTAGGTCGTTGCCCCGTTGGGAAAATCTCTCTTGCCTACAGCGACTCAAAGGCAGTGAGCCAAATTGTATAACACTCCTGTAGAACAAGCTTCAGTGGGAACCTTTTTTTTTTTCAACTGCTTTCCCACTACATGATCTTTTATGAGTAATAATTTGTCACAGTGGAAATGGTTAGTAAAAAAGCATCCAAAAATTCAGAATCAGAATCAGCTTTACTGGCCAAGCATGTGTATACACACATCAAAACATTTGACACGAAATACTGTATTACACAAATATGTACAAAATTGCACAAGACATTTAGCTTAAAAATACAAGACTGTTTTAGACAGAGGTGCAACGGTGCAGACAGAAGCTGTCAACCAACTGAAACTGAAACTGACCTGTTTTTGGTACTTATCCGGATAGAGGCATTCATTACTTTTTCCTTTTCTTTCTTTTTTGGTTAGTGGAGGGTGGGGTGATAACAAGCTGAAGTTGCAACAGATAAAAAAAAAGTAGTAAAATAAAAAGGAAAAATAAAGCTTACTATTGACCAGCACATCATTGCTGTATGTCCAACAGAAATGACAAACAATTTGTTCAGATTTCTCAGTTTGGGAGAGCTGACTGCTGACTCTCTTTAAGAGACCAAAGTATTAGA